GCACCCTCGGCGGGTCACTCTGTCTCTGGATGATGCCACCGCACCAAGCCAGCAATGAAGCTTCGCTCGTCAGGGAGATAGCACTCAGGACACTCTGCTGCAATTCCCTTCAGTAGCTAATAACCAACTAAGCAGGCACAGCCGAGAAAGTCTCCAGAGTCGTACTTTAAAGTAATGTGGGGAGACTACACTTCCTTCTGGCACAATGCACCAAATGAATTTTCCTGCACAACAGAGTCCTACAATCAGCCACGTGTAACTAGCAATCCCTAGTGGTACGGTTGATTGTTGTGTGCCGCAAGCCAATAGAAACCACCGGGTACAACCGCAACCTCCCAACTCCTCTTCTGATTTGCTTCCCGCACTCCAGCCCCTACTACTCCGAAACTAGCTAGTAGCAGGTAGATACATCCTCACCTGAACAAATGTACTGGAGGCTGGCTCGAAAGATTGACAACGACCCCTTCGAAAGGTATGGTTTTGCCTCGATCTGAAATGTTAGGTTGATCATGGTCCAGTAGCCCACCGTGGGCCAAAAGATTACAACCACATACACGCACACATAGAGCAACTGAACGATGCCACCATTACCGTGGTCCTGGCACGGAGCTCACAAGCCGGCTGCAGACAGATATCGGCAGAAGCATAGACGCAGGCTCGCTGAGGGCACAAATCAACCACACATTCGACAGGCTAACAATGCTGCTAAAATCTGCCATTGTCGAGTAATTGTTGTCCATCGGCCTACGCCACGCCAAAACAGCAACCTCATGCATAGACCAACAAACAAACAAACAAACAACATCTGTACTAACCCCACCACACTCCATGATTCCCCATCTACCGTTGTCACTCTGGATAAATCCATGTTTGATTTGTGGCATAGTGGCCAACAGCAGTCTGAATATAGCATCTACAACCCCCCAGGCTTACACCATACTGTACTTACCGTGCTTCCACGTCAAAACAATAACCTCATGCATACACCAAACAAACCTCTACGTACTAACCCCACCAATCCGCGAGTCCCAATCTACCGTTTTGACTCTGGATGAATCCATGCTTGATTGTGGCATACCGGTAGTGGCCAACAGCAGTCTAATAGCATCTACAACCCCGAGCTTACGCCATACTGTACTTACCGTGCTTCCGCAACCAAATTGAAAACATAGAGTGCCCTAGTCAAAACTGAGCGGAGGCTTCAAACTAGCCCTACCGGGTACAAAGAAATGAGAAAACAAGCACCAGCTGCACCAGACATTGCTCTCAGTTGATTGTGGAGTCCGCCAATAATTGCATCCATTAAAAAAGCATACGGGTTGCTTTCAATTCTGAGACCACTATTGTTAAAAACGTATGCTCAAAACGCCAACTCCCAGCTCTACAAATAAATGTGGATTGTTCTGGAAACGGTTGTGGATTGATAAGGATTCTGTTGCAGCGTTGTCCAGTGCGATTGTGGATTGATGAGTCAAACCATAGCAGTACAGAGATAACCGCAGATTGTTGCATTATTCAAAGCCACAGACGGATGCCGTACTTCTGCGGCTGTAGCCTTGCAGCAGCATATTGATCTACCTCACCCAGAAAAGCGCGCTGCAAAATAGTGAACAAACAAACAAATTAAATTGGTTTGGGAGCAGCAAAATGAGCTCAAGGCAAGCACCAGAAATAGGCAGCAGCATCTTGCATCTATGCAGCTCCATTCAGCTGAACTCCAACTTGAACAAACCTCACTTGCCAACTTATGAGCCAAGAGCTGCAACAAGATTACCCAGAGCTTCAACCAAATCACCGGTAACTGGCCACCATACTCACGCTACAACTTCAAACAGGAGGGGGCAATTCGACTTGCTTGAGCTTCAACCACAATCCCTTTACCACTGAATGCAGCATCTACCCACCAATTCACGATTATTCAAAGCCATCTGTTTTGTTGTTGTTGCTTGTTGTGTTTCTAAACCTTCCGGTTTCCTCATTTTGCTGACGTGGTGCGCTGACAAAAGGATGTTAAATAAAGTTTCATAACTTCAAGGGTAAGTTGCGGAATCTGCCACCTAAATCGATTCAGGCCAATTTTCACTGAAATTCTACTTCAACAAGGCTTCAAGCTACCGCTTGCGTCACTGGTTTGGATTCGAGACTGCGTAGAAATCTACGTCTCTGGTACAACTCCAGGCCTGTTGCAGACTGTTAAATGCTTCCTTTCTTCATTGATGCTGGCCCGCTCGCTGGGAAATTTTCTTCCGACCACTGGCAAGAGTATATTAAATCATCAAACCAGAGATCTTGAAATTACTTAACGACCTATCTTTCCTCAGCTTCCGTTGCGACTGTGTAGATTTCTACGCTCCTGGTACAAAATCATCGGAATCAGTCAAGGCCAACGAGAGGATTGCGTAGGATTCTACACAGTTTGTACCAGAGTTTGGATGGGCCTCAATATTGCTGCTCGTTGCCTCTAAAAAACCGAAAAAACACTCCTCAAAACACACCCTCAAAATCCCTCCTCAAATAAGTTCATAATTTCCCTCTCGCCCTTCAATTGGTGTCCTCATGCCAAAATCACAACTCAACCAACCCCGATCACATATACCATGACGGGCTGCTGCCGTCTCCACCCACCCCACTCATTCATACTATCACAGACTGCACGGCTGCCATTCGGAGTCTTCAGTGGCTCTTGGAGGCAGCGGTGCGCACCGCTGCAGAAAGGAAGACGATGACCGCTGATCGTGATCCCGGTGATATTGCCATTGGTAAGTGGAATGGAAGCTCTGCTTTGGCGGCGCTTCTCTCATCATGCGACAGACTATGGAAAGTGATGCTGCGGCAATATCGCTGGATGTGGTCTGGCTATTGATGCTGAGATGCGCCGTCATGCTGGCCGCACGGATTGTTTGCTTTGGGTAGTTGTTTTCGCAACGATGTTGGAATCTCCGTTTGCTTTGGATTGTCTTGGAATCGCTCCGTCTTGTTTTGCTGCTGGTTGGACGGAGATTGGGTTGCGTTTGGGGTGGTGTTTATTGCCTGCTGCTAGCTGGGGTTGGCTGCTCACCAACCCTTGTTGGGGCTGCTGGGCTAGCTAGCTAGCTACCTTGGCAAGGCTCTCCTGTTGTTGATCCTCGTTAGCTAGCCAGCTTGCCAAGCAAGCTAGCTATTCGTGGTGGGCTTGGTCGCAGTTTTGGTAGCCAACCAGCAAAATCGATTCATGAAAGGGTCGTGACTCGATTTTTGCTGGGTGGTAATCGGGATCGCGCGTAGCAAGCCGAGTAGCTTTCGAAGATTTCACAAGACTAAGTGTCAGAATTTTGCGACCATGAGGCCTAGGGACTGGCGTGGCGCGAAGAATAAGTGGCATGGTGACGCGGTGCAATAGTTGCAGTTGTGGAAACTGAGTCAGAAAAGTAGGCCCTTTCATCATTGGTGTTTGAAGTCTGCAGCGGAACAGCCCGTGTTGTTCCCCAGTAATAATTAAATTTTAGAAACTCTACGATCCACGTACTTGAATGCTTCCGCGTGATTCTCTTATTCCCCCTAAATCTCTGCTTGAAAGTTGCAGCTTCAAGTTGCACATGTAGTAACTTCAATTTGAGCTGAGATCCTAGTAGAAAACCTGTAGAAACATGTACTGCTAGTAGCATTTTGATGGCCACCACATCCCCATCACGTAGACCTCAGGTAGATTTGTACCAACAGCAGTGCAAAGTCAAGCACCAAGACCACCTTTGGAAGAGATGTATCGATGTATCCCTCCTCTCACAATTCCGAACAAGGTTTCCAACACACCCACAACCTCCCAGTTACCCTTCGAAAACAACAACGATGAGTGTCCCTGCTGCCATTATCGACCTCAACAACAGAGCCGTGAGCTCCTTGCTGCAAGGCGACAGCGACGCCGCCGTCTCTTCTCTCACTGCCGCCATGTCCAGTCTTCAGAACCTTCGCGACGTCGAACTTGAGGAACAAAAGCAACAACAACAGCAAGCTCCTCCATTGAGCCAACACTGGCTCGCAGAAAAGATCTTGGAAAGTCTCAGCGGCGAGAGTCCCATGTGCAGCATTCCTCTTTCTTTCACCAACAGCGAATCGGCTGATGGCCCTGGCACCTTCACACTCTTTAACCATGCTCTCACCATCTCCAACTCTTCAAGCCTCATGGTTTCTTCGGTGGCCAAGAACTATGATCGATTGTTGGCCATGATCCTCTATAACATGGGCATGGCATTCCACACACAAGCGGTGCGAAGTGGCAGATCAGAGGAGCTTCGAGGAGCTCTTCAGCTATACGAGATGTCCTTCTCTGTAGTGGAGAATGCTTGGGTCCGCTTCGATGTCGATGACTTGACCCTGTTCCTCATGGCTCTCATGAACAACCTGGGACACATTCACAGCAGTCTGTATAATGCCCCGCAAACACAGATCTGCATCGAATGGCTCACAGCTCTTGCAGGGCATCCTGCCTTTCTAAGGCTGATGCAAAGAGACCAGTACGCACCCTTTTCTCTCAATCTCTTGGTGGTTCTGAAGCAGCAGCAACACCACTGCTCTCCTGCAGCTTAAGAAGTCATCCGGTTGATGAAGTCCCTCCAAGTGGATTACGAAGAGCTAAGAAGCCCTCTGAGGCCAGCCAGCAGCTTTCAGGCAAGCCACTGGCATCTTCCAAGGTGAAGCTTCCAGTTCTGCCCCCGAACAGGGCTGGCTGCCTCCCTCCAAGACAAGATTTGGCTGGCTAAGAAACAAGGCGCAGCAAGGGACCAAAACATTCCTCTCCAAGACTTCCTATCTCCCAAGGTCCCTGCAAGCCAAGGTGCTAGCTAGGAGCATGCCTGTTGCTGCGCGCTGAGCAGCCGCTATCACTAAGTCAAGACCACGAGATGGTCTCCGGTGATTATCCTATTGGAACCTCTTTCCAGACCTCATGGCCACTCCTAGCTAGCCAGTAGGCCTCATCCCATTAAAAGCTTAGAGATATAGCTTCATATTCATGCTACTAGTAAGCCGTTGCTCACTTCCACTGTAGACCGTACCGCACATGTAGAATCCTCGTGCCTCTTTGCTGTCTGGTATTTAGTGGTTTGTGGGAGTTAAAGACTTCAAGGTAAAGTCCCTGGTCACATTAATAATTAAGGACACTTGAAGGGCCGTAGGAAAAACTCGAGTATACCTCGAAGAGTTTTTAAGAGCAGTTGAAGCACGTACAGCTCATGTTATTGAATTAGAATTCCTATAGTCACGAATTTTTCCAGACTCAAAAAAGAAGCAGCAGCGAAAACAAGCTTGGCGGCCGGTAGCGGTACCGTGTATCATAGAGCTCCGTGTGGCCTGCGATGGCTCCACGGCTGCTGCTCTGAATTCTTCCTTTTGCAATTGCCACTCTTGGTCCTCTGTTCCTAAAGACCTTGTTCAAGCTTGCTTCTTTTCGAGAGAATTGCTTTTGTTTGCACATTCGCAATCCCATAGCCCAGAGCCCAAGGCTGCCTTTCCAAAGCAGCACAAAACCTGGACGTCAAATAAATGATCATATGATCGTTCTGTTGTTGCCTTACATGTTCTTGGAAGACAAGATGATGATGATGCGAGGATCTTGTGAAGCAACAGCAGAATTGTACTTGGTGAAGGAACAGCACTCACTTTTGATGCGGTGTACCACTTGCTAGACAGAAGCAGATCTATGTATCTTCCAACAGGCTGCTACTAGCTGGCTAGTACGTATCGGTACGAGGCCTGTGCATTCAACCACAGCCAATCACAGCCAGCCAGCTCTGCCAGCTCAAATATTGTCCTTTACTCGCGGATAATCTTCCAAGAATGAAAAAATCTGGAGCCGTCAGAACAGGCTTTAGTTAGGGTGTCAACCCAACATCAACAGTTTGAGCTCGAAGCTTCACTGGCAAATAAACGCAGAAGAAAACATGCTGCGCAAGTACTCCAGTACGGAACTGGGCTAGCTAGCTAGTAACAGCACTTCTTCCGGTACAATTGACATCTGGACTGACTGACAAATGTCAACCCTTGTGAAAGATCCATGTATGAGAAGTCATCTTCCCCGTTTCTTGGGCAAGAAAGTTGACACCAAAGTCCAGGAGCCAAGTCAAGGAAACCCTTTTGCATCCATCAAAGTGGCCGGGCCAGCAGTTTTGAGAGGAAGCCAAGGTACTATCATTAGCTTGTTTGACCATTAAATTTTGCTTGCTGTGAGTGACAACCCCAGCCAAAGGTCATCCTCACTTGAAAAGCTCGAGCCGATTTGGAATGTCGCCTCTCACATTTTTGTTTGCTTCTGTGCGTGATTTGAGGCAGCCCGAGTGCGGAAGCAGCCAGCAAAGAACAAGACAAAGCACAGGTGGCTTCTGCACACACACAAAGTCGACTACCGGTAAGTGTTGACTCGACTGACTCATTGATTCTACCTTGAGTAGCTGGATGGCTTCCAAACCGGTTACTATCATTCATCGGTGTTGTTCTGTCGGATTTTCCAGGAGTCCATCATCACACAAGTTCCATCATACCGGTAGAAAAGCAAAACTCAGATACCGGAGACACCTTTGTGCTTCTTTCTCACAACTCAATCCTTCCCACAGCCTTCCCCGCAAAAACAACGGTAAGTTTCATGACGTCACGAAAGAAGTTTCTAGAAGACCTGAGTCGAGTCGAGTCGAGTCGAGTCTTGAAAACGTGTTTTGGCGATTGTTAGTTAGAGGCCCAAAGCAGAACACAACCCGCCGATGACCTTCCTCCCGAGCAGTTCCAGTCAGCGGAAGTTGGATTGGAATCTGAGGATACCGCCAGTGGGCCGGAAGGATACTACTGCAATGAGACCGTCGGCTGGCCACTTGTTGTTGGATTGAATGACGGCATCAATTGTCTCACGCAGCTGTTTGTTGTTTGCGCACCAGTTCGATTCTCACGCCAACAAAGAGGCAATAGCCAAGCAGGAAAGGCGGAAAAAGACTGACACGACTCTTGTTGTTTCGTTGTGAGAATTGTGGATTGGCATTTTAATAAAAAGCATTCCACTTGTCTGAAACGTCACGACTACAACCTGGTTTTCTTGCAATCGGTTACATCCTTTTGACGTCAAGTAAGTAGATGGGACGCCACAATGCAACCTCATTATCTCGAAGGAGTTCCAAGACAAAGATGATTCCTTGCGCTATTCCTACTAGTGATGATTGCGCCGCTACCCCCATCCCGGGCCAGACATTGCTGGTAGAGCGAGTCGAATCCGATGACCTCCAAGCCATGGAAAAGGATTCCAGGGCGGTGCTGTGGCGCGCCGAGACTTCCATGTCGGATGGAGACGAGGATGCCACGGAAAGTAGTGAAGACGCATCCGTGTTGGTGGTCCAAGCCAATAGTCCCCAAGGAGAGGCCCTCCGACTTGGGAACGATGAGCTCTCCAAGGAACCACTGGTACCCGTCAAAGATCACGTTACCTACTCGGTCGCCAAGAAGGGCAAGGATGACATTACCGTACGAGTCGACGTCGAAAAGTACATGTCCAGTCGAGAAATGACTCCCTTACAGGAACGATGGAATGCTCTCACGATGATCCCTCAACCACTTCTCTGTGTCTGTTACTTGCTATCTGGCAATTGGGTCAGTGGAGCCATCTTGGCAGAAGCTACCAAAGCCTATCAGAATTTGTCGCAAGAGGCTCTAACCGAGGCATTTGAGAACGATCCCGCTTGCTTTGATTGGTCTCATCTTCCCGTTGTGGGATGGCTGTTTCGGCACATGTATGCCATGCCTCCTCTTCCCTTGCTGTTCATCACGGCGGGGTGTGTGTCGCAGTTGCCGTTTTCGTTTTTGTACCATTGGAAATATGCGCATGCACTCACACCCTCTCAGAGAACCGACCATTGGAGCCGCCGCATGGACCAATCCATGATTCATGTCTCGAGTGCCTTGTCGTGCTATGGTACCTCGGGATACTGGGATTACTTTCTTGTCAATTGCATCTACAACGCCGACAGCATTTATCGGCAATTCCAGCCTAAAGTTATACCACGACGCAATCAAGGACGGCTCGGCGTTGCCATTGCCGCCTGGGCCATTCCGGTGCTCCGACGAGGGGAATGGGACATGTTCATGCAACTCGTGGTGACTCTGGGCATTGGGTTCTTTTTGTTCCTACGATACCCCATTGGAGGATGGTCTCATGCGGCCTTTCATTTGACCTTGATTCCTCTGATGGCGTTGCTGATGAAGATTGGCACCGACTTGCCTGCCTCACAAGGAACAATCCAAGGAGCAGCGCAATGCTTTGCCATGGCAGACCTTCGTCATGCATACTCAACATAGACACACACACACGAACGAACGCACGCACACTACAAATACTACAGTACAAAAGAGATTTACGTTTTCGTTAAAGAGTAAATAGCTGATACATATTATCGCAAGAGGGAACAGCAAGCATCCAGCAAGGAATAGTTTTTTGGAATGCAACAAACCCAGGTGAAGCACAATCGGGACTCGCTAAGGTGAGATGCAGCCACCGACAAACCTGCGGCTACCGTACCAAGAGTTTCTTTTCGACATCGATGTCTGCGTGTTGATTAAGAGACGACGGATACTCCGCAGCTGCTGCGGCGTCTCGTGGAGGAATACGGTACCGCTACCGGTAGCTACCGGTAACTAGCTAGAGATCCGGCACATGCAAGGTGATTCCGGTACCGGTCCAATACGTCTAGGTAGGTGTGGACAGTAGCATGCACACAAGCCCGCAAGCAGCGGTACGGTACAGTGCTTTGCCCCGGTGAAAACTATTGATAGCTATTAGCTAGTACCGGTAGACTACTCACCAGTACCGGTACCGGTACATGTACGTGTATCTGTTTACGGGTAACCAAGCATTTTTGGTATCTTAATTTTACTACAATTAGAATATTTTTGCTACTCGTTGCTACCAATCCCAGTGTTTCGTTGCTACATGTAGTTAGAAGAAAGCATCCTCAAAGCCATCATCATTGGCCGCTCCTCCTTCAGGTCCTCCAATGTAGCCGGGTTGCTGTGTTTGCTGCTGCTGCATGGAATGATCTCGCAGTGGTTGTTGACCATGCATCGTTGCTGCAGGTGGCATGAAACCTCTGTTTTCAAGTGGACGAGAAGCACCACCCAGCGCTGGTCCACTGAAGAAACCTGGATTGTTGAATGAATTGGCAGTCCCTTGAGAATGCTGAGGCTGTAGTTGGGACTGGAATTGATGCTGATGTCGCAGGGGATTCGGTTGTCGACTATTGGGACCAGGGCCGTACTGACTGTCTTGAACCATTGGTTGATATCGATTGAAGGGACCCATTCCTGGTTGTGCCACTTGAGCACTCTGACCTCCAAACGTCTCCCAATTCTCGTTTGTCTCATTTGGATCCCACTGCGCCGTCTCGTCCCATGGACCATCACCGTCAAAGGGATCGCCGCCAATACCAACACCGCCAAAGCCGTCGTACGAAAGGAACTGATCTTGTTGCTGTTGCCATGAATTGGCATTGGCATGGCCATGCTGGCGTCCAGCAACGACCTCTTGTGGTCCACTCCAGGCAGGTTGATGCTGCTGGTCATGATCAGTTGTCACAACGCTCAAGTTTCCAGGTGTTCTGGAGGGGGGAGCCATCAGGTTTTGTTGGTGGAGTCGAGGAGGTGGGATCGGCGAAACTCGTCTGGACGGCATGGATCTTCGTGCCGTGTCGCTAAAGAACGCGTTGGTTTCCTCATTCTTCCGGGCTAACAATTCCTGTTCAGAGATGTTCTCTTGGAATTTGCGGCCCTGTCTCCTTCGCCTCGGTTCACTGGTGAACCTTTGAGGGATGAGACCATTTGGCCTTTGCAAGGCACTCTCCCGACGCATCACTTCACGCTCTTGCTGGGGGATGAGACTGTTTTCCCGGTTCTCGTTGTTGTTGTTGAGATTGTCCAGGAATCCTTCAGCATCGTTCGGGTCATGGCTGAATATTTTGAATGGGTTCAGATTCTTCTTTGTGAAAGCCCTCTCTTGCGAGTTGACCTGTTGACGTTTCTCTTTTCGCCAAGAGTTGGACTGCCGGCTGCTGATGGATTGGCTGGCATGTGGTGACTGCGACGGCCGGATGCCAGCAGAGCTCGCTTGGGAAACTCTTCGAGCTTGAGTTCCTCCCCGACGTGTTTGTGAGGCAGGCGACCTAGTATTTGCTTGTGGATAGAGTGGTGTCGCTTGCGATGGCCCATTCGGAGGATGAGCTGTCATTGAGGGCCCATTCGGGAAAGGCGATTGTGTCAATCTACGTGACGGGCGATCTTGTACCGAACGTCGCTGAGCGGTGGCGTTCATCCCGGGTCGATGCATTGACGCGGCAGAAGCGGGCATCGATGACACGTTCGGGGTTCTAGCTTGGCGACTGAAATGTTGAGAGGTTTGGCCCATTGGAGGCGAAATTCTCGTGGTTGCGCCCGGTGGGGCTCCTGGATGGCGACTGAAAATTTGAGAGGTTTGGTCCATTGGAGGCGAAATTGTCGGGCTTTCGTTCGGTGGAGCTCCTGGATGACTATCAGAGCGAGCCTTTGGTTGCATAGGTTGGTGGGCCCACCCATTCACGTTTGCGGTTTCAATGGTCTGACCCGACATATTCGCTCTTGCTGGATTTGGATTCACGAGCTGAGGAGTTTCTTCTGCTTGTGGCGATGGTTGACGCTGGGGACCTATTGCCAGGTGGCTTGAAGTCCTCTGTGTCGAGTAAGAGTGATCCGCATTGTCCATCAGCCGACGCCTCTTCGCATCCGTCCCTAAGTCGATCGACGGGTCTTTCCGAGATGAAGCACTGGGTTTTGATTTTGACTGTTGGGATTTGTTGCCGGTAGACGACATCAGATTTCGGATCGTTGACTGTCTCTTGGCCTTTGGTTGCCTGTCAAAGACCGGGGCTATACCTTTGGACTTGTGTGTTGTGTAGGAACAAGGATTGATGCTATTGTTGCCTCTCACCTCAACTTTTTCTGCCACGCACATGATTAGAGTTAAAGCAAGGGGCTCAGTATGTATTGTGCTGCGTGGCAGGGGAAACGGCCGATACTACTTACCGTCGAACCCAACCATGGAAGCAATCAGCTGAATGACCACCAAACCAAAGCTGCTGGGACACCGCAGAAGCAGGACATCTGGTTTGAATACGTTTTCGAGGAAGATCAAACAACCCCCTTTCATTTTGATGACAATCAATGCAACTTGTGAGATTTCACAATCACAAAGGAGAATGAATTCAAGCCAGAGAATGCAGCGGCTGCTCTTTACCTGGTCTATCTGTGTACGCAATCAACGTGTACGTCAGTGCACAATCTTCCGATGATGTATGTTCGGATGCTGTCGCACTGCCTGGTTGTCCTTCGAGTTTGCACTCGATGTGGCCCGCCGATTCCCCGTCCGCTCCATAGACGACGCGTGCGGAGACTTTGAGTCTCTGCTGCATGGCTCTGGCAACTTCAGCGCGAAGCGTGGAGCCAAAAGGAGGGGGTCGATTGGATGCTTTCTCAAGCTCCGAAGCTGTTGACTTTTCAACATCATCAAACGTCACGATGCCATGCATTCGAAGGGCGACCATGGGAGCATTTTTGATCTGTTTGAGAGCGCCATCGCTCTCACGCCATAGACTCCAAAAAAGTGATCGTCGAAGCTTCAGACTTTGCGCGGCGACGTGGCCATTCCGGCTCCCTTTCGCACTATATTCTTCAAGTGCCGACAACATCCGTGAGGAGTATTGAACCATGGCTTCTGTCTCTTGGAAAAGAGAGTAATCGTCAAAACGGTGCTGCCCGATATGAGCCTGGAGCATCACGAAGGCCTTTTGCTCCGCGGTTTGGACCCTGACCTTGCTGGGTTGACCCTCCAGCTTGAACCTGATATTCTTGTGGGCTTCATTCAGCTTGGCTTTCTCGTTTCTTCGGAGAGGCCGCTGCAAGTCTTCAATCCCGCAAATGGAAAGCAGAATTTGTCGCAACGAGCTATCAAAGGGAATCCCTGCCATGATCTCGGAAGCCTCAAAGCCGACCAGGCCTGACGCCATAATATGGCATGCTGGCAAGGGCGTAATGTTTTGCTGCTGGTTCCAGCAAATGAATCGTAAAAGATGGAGCTTTCGCAGTTTCTCTTCGCACTTCTCGAGCAAGAAAGCATCGAAGGACTGAATCGAAGTATCATGCAGGCCAAACAGAGAAGGATTCTTTCTCGCGCGGGCGTAATACAGCGTGCCCCTCAACCAATTGAGGGCAGTTGAGGGGCTGCAGATCACTTGCTGTGAGATCTCTGCGTTGATGACCTCAATCAGCTTTCGTTCCAATTGACTTTCGGCAGGACCGAGCCCGCCTGATAGTCTTTCAATGCGAGCCTTGGACTTGTTGTCTGTCATGATGACGGCAGTCCCACTGGTGTCAAAGCCCGGCCTTCCGGCTCTTCCAACCATCTGTAAGATGCTGGCCGCATCAATATCCTGGTAGCCGCATCCACTTCCTCGCCAAGCAGTGGTGCCTTTTATGATTACGAGATGAACCGGGAGATTCACTCCTTGAGCCAATGTCGAAGTGGCGCAGAGCACACGAATGTCACCTTCGGCAAACCCCTTTTCGACGACTTTTCGGTCGCCAGCCTCGAGACCTGCGTGGTGGAAAGCAACCCCTTCCAGTAGACAACGTTGGAGTTGGGTGTTTCTTGTTTGCGACGCAACTTTTGCCTTGACTGTGCCGTGAGAGAATCCGACCCCCTTGGCTTGTGCCAAGAATGACGCTAGCTTCTCAGTATCCTTCTTGCTGTGGCAGAACACAATCGTCGGCTTTTTGTTGGAGTATTTCTGGATCAACCCAGGGACTCGATGGTGAACGGTGTTCCAAAATTGAAACTCGTTCTTGCCAATAGTGCCAAGATTCACAATATGCATCGTCAATGGTACCGGTCGGTAACTTGCATCAAAAGTATAGCATTCGGACGCTGAAAGCAGGGAGGCGCAATCTTGGATGTTCGGCAAGGTCGCAGAGACGGCAACAAATCTGAAGGACGATGCGATTGCCTCAGGGGTTGTATGTGGATAGCTGCAAAAGATCAAACAGGACAGTGAGCGAAGGAAGAAAGGAACGAAGCTGCATTAGAACCTGATAGGTGCTGTTCTTACCTTGACATGAGGAGTTCTTCATGTGTCACCGCCACGTTCCTTGCGGCCCTTTGAATGGTCTTCATGCGGCAAACGATCGCTTCCAAGCACCATCCACGGCTAGGATCCCCCACCATGTGTACCTCATCCACCATGAATAGCTTGATCGTTGCAAATAGATAAAAGTTTTCCGTCCATCGCCTTGTCATGCTATCAAACTTCTCCGGCGTGGTGACAATCAGCTGAGATTCGGCAAGGTTTCGGTAGGAATCTCCAGGTTCCTTATCATCCCCAGTGATCATTGCAACTGAAATGCCAATGCCGAGAGCTGACAGTCGTGTATTCCAATCGTTGTATCGTTCTTCACAAAGGGCTTTGCTTGGAGCGACGTAGACCATTTTTCGATGCCTGCTCAAGAAGGATGGACGATGTGCAACTTTTGGTTGATTCAACAGGTCGATGTAGATGAGCCGTGCCATGGCGATCTCGAAGATGGTGGACTTTCCCGAGCCCGTTGGAGAGGAAACAAGAACTTGGTCGTTGCTGTTGGCCAGGACGTTTACAACCTCCGATTGAAGATGATTGAAGGCATGGAATTTGCACTTCCAGAACTTGGCAATGTGCGGTGGGAACACTTGCTCGACTGGGGTCCGCTTTCGAGTATTCATGGGTCGATTGTGAACGTTGAAGGAATGCACTATGGGATCCGGACTTGACTCGTGAGTTGTTGGAACGTAGAGAGACGGATCAATTTCCCTGATCTTTGCGTCGTTCATAGATGCAAAATCGAGGATGCCATTTCCATCGTCAAATCCTGAGCGTTCGGGGCTATCGTCCTTCCGAGTCGTCTTGTCGACATCCTTGTTGCTTTTTGTGTTGCTACTGCTGCCACCAATTCCGGTATTACTCCCGGCATCACCTTTACGAAAGAAACGGGAATCTGCTTTCTTTGCTGCACCGTGGTTGGTTTTGGCTGCAACTGGCTGTACATCGTCATCATCAGTGTCATCATCATCAGAGCCATTCACGTCGAACATCATTGGGAAATCTCCGTCGTTGGCTTGTGCCTTGCTACCGGTAGTAAGGTTGTCCGCGTCGTCTTCGGTCGCGTCCACCAAGTCGATCACATTTTGAGCCGTCGTTTCTGCCCCGTTGGTAGGTTTCTTGCTGGCGGACGATTCTTTTTCAGTAGCCTGAAGACGTCGTTTAGTACTTGGGCTGGCCCTCGGACTCGGTGTGTACGGCGTTAGGAGAATCTCTGAATCTGGCGTAGCTGTAGCAGCATTAGAGGCATTGGGAGGCGTTCGCACAGAAGCAGTGCCCGCTGCTTTGGGAGTGGACGTGGTCTTCTTGTAGGGGTTGACTCTTGTTTTGATCGTCGTAGGACGAGCAGCAGTAGCGCTCTTGTCGCCTTTTGCAAGTCCGATTGTACCATGCTTCGGATACGTTTGATTTCCAGTGGATCGTCCTGTACCGGTAGGAGTAGACCCGAGAAATGGCGACGCACTGGAGTCCGACGACGATGCGCTGGAAGTAGACGTCGAATCGCGCGGAGCAGTTGCGCTCGTACCGATTTGACGACCGCCGAGGTAGTGGGGTGCCTTGGGCTGCGGTGGACTAGGGGAAGGCGACTCTACAGAGTCACCGTGTCCGTTTCTAGAGAATAAAGAAGCACTCTTCTTCGCTGTGGAAGTGGAGCTACGTCTTTCGTGGTCCTCCGACTCGGCAAGAGATGTATCGTCGCTGTCACCGATGCTCGAATTTTCCACCTTGACTTCGACTACTGGCATCTTGTTCTTCACACTGTCTTGTTCGTTTACCAAAGATGTCGGATCTTTGCTGTGCCGCTCGATGAGGTCGTCAATGGCCTTGTAGGCTTCCGAGCCGATGGAATCCAAGTCGCTCGGTGCATTCGATTCTTCGTCTTTTTGTCCGCCACGACGAAGCTTCTCCTCCATTCGCTGTAGCTGCTCTTCTGTCGAATCATCATCCGAGGAAGATGAGGATGAAGAAGAGATGGAGGAATCGTCGTCGTCGTCGTTCGGTTGCTTGGCCATGGTCGGCATTTCTCTCGCAGTGTTGCGGTTGTGATGAGACGACGAAAAGGAGGTGAAACTTGAAAAGAGAACCCGGAGGCGAGCATTTTTAAAGGATGATGAATGATGAGGGTTAGAGATAACTGAAAAAAGTGAAGGTCATCCAGTCACAGCGTCCCGCGATTCGATTTGATCTCGTGAAGAAGCAAAGATCCATCTTGCCTCCACAACAGAACACTCAATTGCTTGATCTCGATATCTCCATAGAGGACTCGAGCGACACCCCATACGTTCAGGTTTAACAACAGTCAACGAAGAACAAAACAACACAGTCCAAGATGAGGTGGATGAACGAACCCGAGTGGAACGAAGAGGATGGCAGATCAGGAGTCAAGGCTATCCGCATGCAAGTTCCTGGAGGAACCGATTGCTGGCGCAAGACCCGCCACAACATGATTTCGGACAATGTTCCCTTTCGCTACCGCAACGTGATTGGTGACTTTGAGGTGATCCTTCATGCCACTACCAAGTTTACTGGCAACTACGAACAAGCCGGGATCATGGTCCGCGAAAGTGATGAAACATGGATGACTTGTGGATTCCAAGTCTTTGATGGACAGCCACAGGCCAGCGCCGTCGTGACGCGTGATACCTCCGATTGGTCCCTCTTGCCTCTTCCCGAGACGCAGGATTCCATGTACTTTGTCGTGAAGCGAACCAAGGAAGTGGTGGAATGCTTTTATTCCTTTGATGGCTTTGAATGGACTCAGGTCCGACAAGCGGTGCTCTCGGATGCAAATAAGCTCATGGTCGGTATGTACGGTGCCTGCCCACAAGGGGATGGCTTTGAAGTGGTATTTGAACATTTCACAATCAAATCCGAGGATGGAGAGTTGGATCTGTCGGATGGTGAGGGAGAAGATCTAGCTATCCAGGACGAAGAAAGCGAAGAACTACAGATTGAAGATGAGTAATTTTGTTTCTCAAGACGGAACAGACAGGAGCGTTAACGACGGCATTTGTAACACTTGTGTGGTGTGGGCCAGCCAAAATGGTTGTTTTAATTTTGACATGACAATAAACTGAATGAGATGCTTTGGATGAGATTCTTGTGTAGATGATTGGTGGTTTTCATCTCCCTTGGTATCCTTATTGCTTTTATTTGTCAAGTTCTTTTAGAATATACGTATCTATATTCGTTCTCTCAGTTTTCCTACTAGAATAGGATATTGGACCAGGAATAACTAAAGTTCCGCTAGATCTATTATAGGTAGGAGGCTCAAGCAATGAAAGCCTGAGTTTTGGTCCAGGCGCCAAGATACCCTGCATCCTGCATCTTCAGGCCGTTCCCTCCGTTGATTTCTCCAGAGTTTAGCTAGCTAGAATACATGCAGCAGCTCTGTGGATCAGGTAGCTTCTATCAACATGGATGTATCTATCTGGAATCCAATACACGTGCGGTGGAGTGGAGATAGACTACATCAGAGGCATGGGCCCTTCCTTTCCTCCGCAAGGTATTTTTTGGCTGGATCATTATTTTCGGGTTTATGGTCAGTCTTGTCAGCGACTCAGAGGCTGCCCGCTGCAAGGTCACGGCTGAATGATGACTGCTTGCTACCAAACTCCAAACCTAAAGATCGCGTCTTCTGTTCTTCTTTTTGTTGTCAACGACGAAGATCCACTACAAGCTCGAAAAGCAACGTTGTTCATTCTTGTCCCGTCTCCTGCTGACAACAACTTTCGGTCCCCTTATTAGAGATCCTCATCACAGCATACGGTAGCAGCAAGCAAGATGGCGGCAGCAGAAACAGACCCCTCGGATCCCTTCAAGGGAATGAAATGGATCAATGCTCCGAAAAGATCCAAATGGGATATCACGGATGGACGTTTGAAGCTCAGTGTTCCCTCCCAGACGGATCTATGGCGTGGAACCAAATTTGGTTTCACCAAGGAGAACGCTCCCTACTTTTTCAAGAAAATCTCTGGCGACTTTCAAGTAACCTGCCATATCAAAGGAAAATTCGACCAACTCTATGATCAGGGAGGTATCCTGATCCAAGCATCCAAAACGGTATACCTCAAATGCGGGATCGAATACTTCAAAGATCAGTGCTATGCGAGTACCTGTGTTACAAAGGAGAACTCGGACTGGTCCTTGATGCCTCTCCCGGATAAGGCAAAGCAAGCGTGGTTCGTTATCAAACGGATTGGAGATTGTGTACAAGTGTACTCCTCCCAAGATGGTGTTATATACAATCAGGTCCGACTGGCTGTCTTGACGGATGAACCCATTTTGAAGGTGGGATTGTTTGGAGCCTGCCCTCAAGGAACTGGCTTCAAAATCTACTTTGAACACTTTTCGATTGAAGAGGAGTCTGGAGAAGGCGAGGAAGAAGATTGGGGCGAAGAAGAGGATTACGGAGAGTACGAGGATGAAGGTGAATTTGCGTTGGAATCTGACGAAGAGGAGAATCTAGATTAAAACGCCCGGAAGCAATGGCTCCGTATTTATTCATGTGGTGGTGGCGGTTGAGAGTGTCCTGTTTTTCCGAATGCTGTGGTGAATGCACTGGTAATAGATTAGTTTTATGCTTGCCCCGCCGTGAATCGAATGCGTCGTCAATACCGCATTTGCGGATACATTGCTCACGCAAGTGGAGCATGGAACGACATCATTAAAATAAGCTAAGATGGCACCTCACAGCATACAGTCAGCGGAAACACGCCACAAGTCTTGGTGGCAACTACGGCGTTACTTCGTAGCCAATGCCTTGACTCCATCCAGCCACTCGGCCAGTATGTTCTGAATGATAATGTAGCCCTCCTTGATATCTTCAGTATCCGTGTCCCTAGGGCCTACCGAGTTCAGATCCGAATGATGCGCTCCATTTTCAAAGTTCAGCACCAAGAGACTTTCTGATAAGTTCTGTTTGACAGCACCAACGGACCAGCCATCGTTCAAGCCATTTGTGAACAGGATGCGACTTGCATTGGCAGCTACCAAGTCATCAAATTTCCACTTTGCAACCAGTTCTGTGGGACGCGGCTTAACTCCAAACCGTGCGTGGCAATGAGCATTCATCCAATCTAGTGTCCAATTCCGAGGAGGAAACATGGATTCATGGGAAAAGCCAATTTTCTCCACCAAAAGTGTACCTATTGCATGGATGTCGGAGGGAGCAACAGCAGACAGCATGAGCCCCAAGCTAGCTAGCTGGTGAGGGGTGTACAATACAATGCTGGATACACTTACACGTCTGAAAGTCCCAACTCTCGCCATCCGTACCAGTCCCATCACCACTCCAATCACCTCCTGAAATAGTAGCATGACGCCCAGCTGGAAGCTGGAGGCCCATGTTGAAACAGTCAGAACCTCTTCCTAGTCTGTCAGTCAGAAATGTCTTGACCTTGTCCACAGCACTGGAATGGTCATCCAAGAAAATCTGACAATCTTTGTACAAATTGGTCTGAGGTGAAGGGGGATAATTGCCCATATTGTCATTGGCAAAGGTATATCCAACCATCATGAAAAGTTCTTCAAAGAACACGTGTCGACTTTTGATGTAGTCCGGAAGTGTTCCTGGGCAAATACCAACATCAATGGCAGGAATGTAGTTTGATGATGAGCCTTCTTGTAGCACATCATCCAAAGCTTGTCTGACAGCTTTGGAACAGCCAGGAATTGTCTTTTCAGCTACTTTGGAGATGTGATTGTAGTAGTCTCCCTCTTGTACCTGCTGAGAATAGAACTTGACAGGCGCTGACCCAGCATACGACATGTCAATCACATCGGGGAACCGTAGCCTTGCTGACATGCTGAGAAATCCAGGATAAGAGCCTCCTACTGTTATCACAGGACAGTAGTCAGAGGATGTCTTGTTAAGTGAACATCGAAGCTGGTCTTGAGCCACATGCTGTACTAAACGAACTGCATCCATCAGGGCTTGCTCTGCAGTGAAGAGTTGAACTCTTGGATCCATTTTCCTCGCCAGAGTTCTTCCTCTCAATTCCCTTTTTGACTCGGCAGATTGTTGCTGACTGTTTCCTTCTAATGTTAGATTTGCGTGCACCAAAGGTTGACTGAATCCATAAAATCGATGTTCTGGTTGTACAACAAAAGCTCCAAAATTCTTGGCTAGATGATCACTGATAAACGGGTAATAGATACCAGTCTCCGGAGAGATGTGCCCCTCTCCTCCAAGAATCATAAAAATGGGAGACCCAGGACCCTTGAAATGATCGGACCAAACATAGTACCTCTGGGACCACAATTTTCCCTTGTAGTGGTCATTTTGGTGCAAATGATCCACCAGCTGACGGGGATAGTAGTGGGCAGGAGCTGCTTTCCCATTGCATCCTTGGAAATTGCGAGTCAGGACCAAGAGGGCCACCAGGAAACGTAGGGTGTAACCAAGGAGGTACTTCATTTGCCTGTCGTTTTGAACAAGCTTATAGTGACGAGATCCATTCATCATGCTACGATATGATTGATACCGATACCATCGAACCAGAACGTCAAATAAACAATCGGTTGTGGGCGTGTGGGTCAATCGAAGAATCTTTGAAACCGCCTTTCAGTATTATTCGATGTCCTGCTGGCTTATTGATTGGCTATGTCTACCGGTACAGTCGTACCAGTACCGGTACCGGTACGGCGCGGTACGGTACTGTACCGGATGTGAGTAGGAGAGGCGCCTCCTCCAATAGATTGTTTTACAGCTTCTTTATGCAAATGAGGAGGTTACTAGATTAGTGGTAATGCTCGAAGATCGAACCAAGCTTGTGGATTTGATACACATGCCAGCGCAGGACCCTCAACCTATCATAGTAGATGGACTGGTTTGGAGACCACTTGTACCGTTCTCCCCCATGATCTAGTCTATTTCAATTGTTCCTCCCCATGCACGGACTATTCCACCTGTTTTTGCTGCCCTCCACGGATCCACGGTGATGTTCGATTCAGAAGGGAGTTGCTGAATCCTATCAACCCCCCCCCGAATAGTTTGAAGAATCATGCAGGTGTGCATACCGGTATACAGTTGCCGCAGCCGGAAAGACCTGCGTTAGCAACGACCGACTGCTTTGATTTCACCACCAGGGCTCGAGCTGGAAGAATCTTGCAGGTGTGCATTGGCAGCCACCCGGAATAGCCTGCGTTGTGAACAACCTCGAGCGATGGGGTTTCGTACGCGAGTTGGAAGACCCATGCAGTCACTGGAATAGCCGGTGTTGGCAACATGCTTTTATGAACCAGGGCTCGAGTTTGAAGAATCGCGCAAGTGTGCATGTACTGTACCAGTGGCAGCAACCTCTGGTTTTCGTATCAGCACCAGCTACGATCATCGGTCACAGAGACCCACTGCATAGTTATCGCTCCAGACACAGAGCCCGGATAGAAGTTTGTCGATCCTGTGAAATAACTCTTGGGGATGGTTGGAGGACCCAACTATGGTTTTTGGACGACGAAGCAGTTTGCCTTGACCAAGAATCCGGGTTGACAACAATGTCCGATGACGATGTTGGAAGCAGACAAGAAAGCATCCAAAATTTGGAGAAATCAGCAGGAGACCGTGTCCGCAAAAGGAAGATGGCTAATCCATGCAAATCTCAACACTGTAGGACCGAGGAAGAAATGAGAAGTTTGTCCGGGTCTGCTCAGGTTAATGAGCGGTGCACATGCCCAGAGTCATTTCACTTTACTGCAACGAGCCACAGGGTACAGTATTACACTTTGCGACCAGATAAAAAGTCAGACTTGAGCATTGGATCCAGACAAGCAAGTCTGTTGTTGTTTCTGTCACCGCGGTCAAACCCACAAGCTAGGCGGACATGTGTCAACTCGGAAGATGCTGGTTAAAACCACCAGCGGGGCCCAATGGAATGAAAAATGCGAATCTTTGGCACGAATGGCATTGTGACAAGACAGCCCTCGGCACGCACTTAGACGCCACGCCAGGGGACCTGACCTCCAACCAACGAAATCGCTTACCACGAAGCACACCTCCCATGGTGTCGGCGGTCCTGGAAACACGAACTTTCCAATCAATCCAGATACGCCGGTTTGAGAAAAAATAGAAGAGAAGGAATTGACGACGGCAATCTGGATGCCAGGAATGAGCAGTCCTTGATGAAGTACAGTAGATGACTCATCTCTTTCCAAGGTCGTGCCGCATCCAAGGGGACGAACGCATCGGTACCACCAACCATACAGATAGACACCCGACCGATTTTGGTTGTGAAGAGGCAAGAGCCCACAATTGGAAAATTGCCAGCCCAACGCAGCGTTTGCGCACCCTCTCATCGCTCACAAATTCTACCTACAAGACTCCCAAACTTGTCCGGATTTTTCGATTGTTCAACCTTGCCTTGACATCCACCTTCAAGTCTGCTATTCTGAAGATAGAAACCTTCCTAAACCATCTGCTCTCCACTGTTTCTGCTTTGAAGTGCTACCAACAACACACCACCACTGCCACCATGAGGATAATGAATATGGAAACGAGAAGTACTCTCATCAACACTGGTGACAGAAAGCAGCAACGGGAGAGACGGAGCATTTGGTCTCCACTGGTCACATCGGTAGCATTAATGCTCCTGATTCTGATCCGATCACTGCCACAAAATTTTGATTTTGCATCCATTGCCGAACTCTTTTTGGTAGTTCGAAATACAGTCGTCTCGGCATCCCAAGCCAAGGCCATTCCCGCCGTTGTCAGTCGACCCTTTGAAACCGTCTGGGAGGAACCCAAGAGTTCCGCCGAGCTATTCGACCGTGACACTCGCATCATCTGGGCGTATTGGGACAAGGGCTTGCAAGGAATGCCGGAACTGTGCCAACATTCCGTCTTATCCTGGCAAGTGCGAAATCCAGATTGGAAAGTAATCATCCTGGACGATCACAATTACCAACAGTACGTGTCAGTATCGGATCTACCCACCACCTATTTCAGTTTGAAGGTACAACATCGCAGTGATCTCCTTCGTCTGGCAGTTCTCATTCGATATGGAGGTCTGTATCTGGACGCATCCACATTGGTCTTCAAGGGCTTTGATCAAATCTGGGATACTGTGGAAGAAGACAAGCTTATGCTGACTTCCCTGAATAAACTGCCTGGATCTGGATTGGACCTATTCAACAATGGACTATTGATGACTAAAGGAACCAACAACAAAGTACTCAAGATCTGGCAACAGAGAATCCTAGAATACAGCGAAGCGCCTGGTTTGACTTTGGCAGCCATGAAGGAACATCCCCGATTCGCCCGAGTGGCAAATGATTGGGATGATCCATCCTTGGGTATTCTGGCAGATATGGTACCCTACCACTCCAACTTGTGGATGTTGGATGATCTCATCTGGAACAATGACGAAGGAGTTGCCGAGCATGTACTGCATCTCCCCAAGTTGCGATGGGGATTCTGGTTCCTCGCCTTTCCTCATTTGATTACAGAGAGCAAGAGACGGCAGCAATTATTATTGGGCGCTACCGGTACGACAAGCAATAATGAAACGAACATGTTTATTCCTCCTGTCGAGGATCCCGACATGATCAGCTGGAAACCACTGGGTTTGATGAGCGCCATTACAACGATTCTACCGCTGGTCTTTCAGGATGATAGAGACATGTCTATGCGCCTAGTGGAGAATACAATGGCACTCAAGTTCACATCGCATGATTTGGGTATTATTGAGTTTGGTATGAAGAAGTTTGGTCTGAAACACACACTAGGGCATCTCTATGATTTGGCCGTCAACACGACCTCCTATCCGATTCAGCAGGCAACCCTTGATGGTGCAGAAGCACCGGTGTTGGTGGCCAAGCAAGCAATCGAGGTGCCACAATGATAAAAGAAAGAGGCAAGGAGAATAACGAAAGCGCCGTCATTGCAGGAAACGGCCCGTGCCTTGCTCTCGGTAGTCCAATACCAGCGAGGAGGAAGAGATAGACCGATCCGATTCATTCAACACAAGCAAGAGCATGTGCAGTTTGAATTGACATATCATAGTTCACAACTAAAGAAGTGTACAGGGACACAACATAGCCAACAAAAGTAGACGACTTGAACAAAATACGTAGATTCTCTTGAACTCTTTTCTGGGGCCACTTGCCAATTCCGGTCTAGCGACCATCGTGCTCGACCAGGGCCCCGCAGAGCCGAGCTGGTAAGGGTACTAATTAATCCATCCCAAAGAAGGTTTCTTGTTAGCCCGGACTGGCAAACAAGCATCGGTACTATTTGCATCCGCTGGGAGCAATAGCTTACAATTGGCTAAGAGCATTAATACAAAAAGCCTACACGCCGATCAGCTATTCAGAACGTCTAGTCTGGGTACATCCCTGGCCCCGGCTTATTCAATAGGAATACTCCAGGGCTAACACGTACAAGAACGTCCACCTAAGCATCCTTGGAGAGTCCTTCCACTCCCTCACGAATCTTCAATCGCATCTGCCACATCTGGATCTCCGTCCTCACCCATTGGGTCTACCGTGGGGTCAGGACCGTGGGATTCGGTTGCTCCACCAATTCCCAAATTCGTGGTGGGTGCTCCAAGTTGCGTCTTAATGGATCTACGCTAAGGTTAGAGATAACACGTCATTGATGGCAGACAGTAGAGAAAAGAGAGACACATCTGAGAAAGACAGAGAGTCGAGTCGAGTCCAACAGCAACACCATCAACACGAAAGGCAAGCCATCACCCCCCTTTCGAACATATTCCTCCCTTGCTTAAAAGAGTCAACCATGCCCTTGGTGAAGATTTTTGCAAGAAGCACTCTCGCAAAGCCGGTTCCCTTGGCCGCCATTCAGTCGAAGCTTTGTGATATATGGGGAACAAAACCCAACACAACCAAGTTGATCCTGCAACGAGTGGAAGACTGGACCGACGAAAGCTTTCAAGAGGATGTCTATGTAGATATTCGAGCTTATGGTAAGTGAAGATTGGAACATTGATCCTGACTGACAAGGAGACACAATTGCAGGTCTTGTTCTCACGCCGTGCTTGATTGCACCATGTTCACAGGGAAATCAGAACGAACACGTGAATTTGTGTTGGATGGTATGAAGCAGGCCCAGGAGGCGTTTCAGCAACATGATTTGATTGCCAATATGCGGCTAGAGACATACGAGGGAGAACGCTATTTCCATGTTCCGCCAACGTCAAAGTAAGGTCCTGATGGCTGGCTAAGCAGAAAGTTCCACCGGATGAGGTTGGCCAGGCGAAGCAACCAGCACAGGCAAGCAAACTCTGCATCATTGGCGCATTTAATATTAATGAGCTAGCATGTCGATTCATACCGGTTTTGTGGTGCCTTGTATGAAATACATACTGCCGACTCTAGCTGGATGGCTGAGCTTTGTATATGGGCGTGTATTAAAATAGGGGTTCCAGGTGCTTACAAGCATAAGCGCCAACTGTTAGTGTCATGGGCGCCGTCAAGGGGTGCCACCTTTTCTCTGCGCACTTGCTTCGGAGTGGAGGCCATACCAGTGTGCTCTTGCCGCACGGCCATCATCGTTGATGCTTGACATCATGGCCATGATAAATTGTAGGTGGTCCGGATCATCATCCTTATTCTTGAGGTATGCTCCATTACGCCGCGCAGTGGCAACTCTGGCGTAGCCACTGCGCATGTAACAACTCGGGGCGATTACCGTGATATGCTTGTCTAGGTCAACCCAGCACTGCCCGACAAATGCTTGGGCCTCCATCAAGCCATCAATGGCCAGCATTCTTTTGATTTTTCTGGCTTTGTGGTCATCCAAAACGTCCATGGCTGTCTTCAACTGTTGCGCTGCTGCTTTCAATCCATCCTTCATGTTACAGACAGCAACAGCTGATTCAATTCGACTCTCTAGTAGCCTTTCCTTGGAAGTTTTATTGGCTGCGGAGGTCGGCTTTGCTGTCTTGGTGGGCACCCTTGCACGAGTAGGATTCAGATGGGGGTATGACTTTTTCAGCATACTACTCGATGCTGAAGCTTTCTTCTTATGCTGCTGATGCTGCTTTCTATTGGAAGCGGCAGTTCCATTGGCCAAGGAATAAATGATACCGGGAGTTGGACAGAGTATCTCGGCATGCAATTGGACGTGACCTGCACGGTCATTTAAAAAGGCCAGAACCCATGATAAGCCATCAGCTTCAGCTGTTCTTTCTTCTTTACTGGCCTTGCCATTTCTTAAAACCTCAATCGGCTTCTTCAGTGCCTTCTCGGCTTCGATTAGACCATGACTTGTGTGAGCGAGAGCTTCATAGGATTCCACCTGAAGGTCAGACGCTCGTCCTCTAATCAGGTCTCGAATATCTTTTGAGCCCGTATCAGTTGATGGTGCCATTTCGAAGGGTGTCCTTGTCCTCCGGCAAATAAACCAGAGTGAATGCAGGTTGCTTTTTGTGATGAATACAGAGTATCGATAATCTAAATTTGTGGGAAGTGTGGAACTGCGAGAAGATTGCAATCTGGGTTGGAGGGAGAAAAGTGAACCTTCGCCTCCCACTATGCGTTGTGATCGTGCTTCAAGCACGAAATAAACCTTTATAGATACCCCACTATTCAAAGTAATAATGATTCGCAGATGTTAAATCCTCCGCCAACATCACCTGACTTCGCCATTGCTCGTCGCCTGGCTCTTTGGAGAGGTCTCTCTTCTATTGTCTATTAGCTTTGGAAGCATGGCCAAATGAAGAAAACGTTGCTACCGTTGTACTTCTCTCTTAGCCCATCCCAAGCTTGTCGAAGTATCCTTGATAAGGTCGCTTATTAGAAGCATTGAGATTGGATCTCTTCGTTAGTGCGGCTTGATTGACAAACAAGGCAGAAGCTGGCGATCTTTTGGAAAAAAGATACCATAAGATACCGTATCGAAGAAGTAGAGACCAAGAGAAGGAAAACGAAACGAATAAGCCAAGATGGAATCTACGGGTGACAACAAGGAAGACCAGATCACACAGCTCAAGGCGTACTTGCAGACGATCATGGCAAAGCAAGAAGAACTGAAGAAAGCATTGTCAGTCAAGAACCAGAAAGCAGCTGCAGCTCGACGACTCAGTACGCAAATCCAGGGCCAGTCACTGCGTGGTTTGATGGACGTAAGCGACAGCGACAAACACGGGGCGGAGACGCCTGGGATGCAAAAGCGATTGGATGACTACTGTCAGAACGTGGAAGAACTCGAGAAGGAATTAGAAGAAACGACAAAGTTGGTCAATCAAGTGACCTTGGCGCTTTCTGTATTGCCGGCGGATAACACGAGATGCCACCAATGTGGTTGAATTGGCACGCTGTGGAATGCCCATCCTGTCCCCAGGATGTGAGCCATCCAGAATAGCTAGCCGAGAACTGACCAAAAGTTTTGCAACTCTGGAACTTGATTGGCGGAAGAAATGAAATTGTCACATACACTTTCGACCCCGAATCAAATCTCTTATACAATCACACGCGAGCTTCGATATTTTTCAATAGCTCAAACTAATTCAAAACACTTGAGGAGTTCCTCTAGCTAGTCTTATCTGATGCCGTTACCAGCCTAGGAAGCTAATGGAATCGAGATACCGATACATGTACCGGTACCGTATCCTCCCATTAGCAGCCATCAACAGCAGCCATCATCAGCCTTTTGGTCGTGGGTTGAGGTGCTATTGGTATAAACATAGACACACAAGACTTCATCTTCATTATTACAATCACAATCAACTCTTTCAATAGGGATGATCCATTTTCGTTCAGCAAACAAAGAGGCAAAACATTAATTCTTCTTTGGATAACACAACATTCAAAGGAATAATAAAGCAGCCAAAGCTTAAATCCATGAATGATGTCACCATTTTCGTTCGGCAAACAAAGAGGCAAAACATTAATTCTTCTTTGGATAACACAACATTCAAAGGAATAATAAAGCATCCAAAGCTTAAATCCATGAATCATGTCACTCGGAATCGAATTCAATCGAAAGATACGAAGATACTACGGTCGTAGTACATACATACATACATACAGGAATCTCACCACAAACTCGATAGAGTGAGCAGCGAGAGGTTGCAAAGATAAAACAAAAAGCAAGAATGAAGTACCTTCTCTCCTTGATATTGCTCTTGGGCTCTTGTCAGTCCTTCTCTCTGACAGGTTCAAGGCTTTCGCGTCCTTTCACTAAGCGTCTGCATCCGCTTTGGTCCGCAACTGATCAACCGGAAATGCCACCATCATCCTCGCTGTTGAAACCAGAAAAACCGGCAGACAGCACTCCACGTCCACCATCCAAGCGACGAATTGATTCGGTAGAGCGCTTTGCACGGCTGCCTGTTTGGCCCGTCTGGAATGGAGTCTTTTTGTTTGTCATTTCTCGCATCTTGGGCAAGGATATAGCGGCCAAGTTGGAAGATGCGATTGGCGGTCGAGTCTGTCCCAATTTCTATCAAGACACGGAAAAGACATCGCCATTTATCATGTTGGTCCATCATCGACATTCGTTTGCCGCTTGGGATCCTCTGCGATATATCCAGCGCACGTTTTTCCCCGAAGGATTTCCCTCCCATCCGCACAGAGGCTTTATCACTGTCACGTACTTTTTGCGAGGTGGTTTTACCCACCGAGATAGTATGGGCGTCCAGCAACGGTACGGGGCCGAAGAGAGACATGACGGCAAACACACACAATATCTCATGACGGGATCGGGATTGCTACATGAAGAAATGTTTGATCTGCAAGCCGACAACGCCTTTGGGGTGTCAGGACAAGAACTGTATCAATTGTGGTTGAACGTACCCGCCAAAAACAAAATGGATTCTCCATTCATTCAGGTTCTGGGTGGCGAGGATGAAACCCCTTCTGTGGTGAACAGTGGAGTCGAGACCATTGTCATTGCAGGGACGTATCAAGATCATTCCGCATCTGCACGCCTATTTTCGGAGGTGTCCATATTTCATGTCAAGATGGAACCGACCTCCACATGGAAGTACACTTTGCCTTCGAGTCATGCCACTGGTATACTCTATATTCGAACTGGATCGGTCTCTGTTGACGACGAAACAGTGGGTCCTCACAATACTATTTACTTGACTTCGTTTGGCGATGAAGTAATTGTTACTACGGAAAACGGGGCCGACTTTTTGTTCCTGTCAGGAGCTCCCCTCATGGAACCGGTTGCTGCACAAGGATCCATGGTTATGAACTCGGCATATGATATCAATGAGGCGTACCAAGATTATCAAGCTGGAAAAATGGGTGCACCTTGGGACCACAAGCTAACCGACAAGGAATGGAAAGATCATGTCAACCGATATCCTTCCATCTACAGGTAGAAGAAGGTCAGCCGCAAGCCGTGCTACAAACAACAATCCTCCAACAAAAGGACCTCCAGATTGCAGATGCCCCTCTAGTGCAGGTTTTAGTGAAGATCAAATCAGCAACATCGAGCCATTTGATGCGTAGCTGACGGATCCACATTTGGAAGCTTGTCGACCGCCGACTAATACCGTCAGACTCCGAGAAACGCGGTAATCATGTCTAGCTAACACGCACATTGGAAATGAAAAGGATTCCTCGAATGCGGGTTCCCGGTTGCAGTGAATATGTTTTTTGCTAGATTAGATTGTGCTTCTTTTAACTCTTGCCCAACAACCGTTCGGTGTGGAGCAGCGGTAGACCCGGTTGCCACAATAGTTGTTGTAAGACGTCCGTGAGTCAATTTAGTTGTGTGTAATACTTTGGTTTTCATGGTGGTATCATTCGACCGCACGGTACGGTTGTACCTGGTGCCGCTACTGGGACAGAGGATGCTACTTTGCCTCTTCTATGTTCGAGTTGGCGGGAAGAAGATCAATCTGAATCGCTTTGGGATCCACACCGACGTACATTTACCGTGTCGTGTAGTTGCGGTACCGGCAGAGGTACAGTGTACCAGCAGCGGTAGCGTTCTACTAGTACTACAGTACGCGCAGTAAGTCTGCACCCATCGGGTCGGCGGACCTCAGTTATCCATCGTAAACTTGAATCGTACCCCAGTCAGCCAGCTTATATCCATCTGATGGCACAATCCGTCTGAATGCATCTATCGGTATCGTTTGTGGACCAGCGACATCCCATTTGTGATGGATTTGCAAATGGACCCTCGGGAAGCAAAACGATCGTGGTTCTGTTTCCACGCTGCGTTAAGTCGTGGACGTCGTTTCTCTCGCGGGAACGACTGCCGCCACATTCAACTCGGACTCCCACCGCTCACAAATTATTGAAAGCCAACCACAACAACAGTTGCTTGACACAATATTGACATTATCTTTTCGCGATGGCATTCAAGCGTCTCTCTAAACACTCCGCTTCTCCTCAGAAGAAAGATGGCCGTCGATTGCGCTCTCGTGTCCTCAATCGACTTGGCATTACAAGCAACAAGGCCAGAGTGAGCGATGGAGGAATCCCGCCAGCAAAGGTTTCGGAAGAACAAGCCAAGCCGGTAGCGTTGAAAAGCCCTACCAAGAAAGTGTCGCATCGACGGGTCGTCATTACCCAGTCCAACGTTCGATGTGTTCCTCCCAACGAGCCTTCGTCACCATGCCCTCGAACATCGTGGGAAGTTGCTATTGCTCAAGACGAGAAGTTTGCGACGCCTCCGCCAATCCCCTCTCGGTCGAAGCCACCACCCTGCCCAACAGCCTACCCTCGTCTTCCTCATACTTCCATCAGCGTATCATATTCCATGCCGCTACAGGAATTCCAAAGCTATCCAGGCATGCCAAAACCAAAAGAAGAATCAAGCTCCCGAGTCTGTTTTGCATCCTCAGTCCAAGTCATGGAGATTCCATCTCACGTGCACTACAGCAAACAGGCTCGCGACGCCATGTGGACCAGTCCCAAGGACATTGACCGATTGGCCAAACGCAATGCGTATGAATATTGGGCCGATGGGAAACAATGGGAAGACTGCAAGGAGGAAGACGAGATGCTGGAGTGGAATGGCAAGCTCTTGCATCCATTTACGTATGAACGCATGCAAAACATGATTGCGCAGACTCGAATGGAGGCAGAGCACGAAAAGGAGGTACAAGAGCATGCAAAGTCATCTTTTAGCTTTCGTGAGATGCTATTTGGGCGCAGCCACAAGCAAGACGAATGGTTGGTCGGATGGCAATCATGTCCTTGACCACATTTAAAAAAGAAAAAGCCGCTCAACAGTGGTCTATTGTATGTGCTAAAAATAAAGAAATAGAGCTTCAGTTGCTCCACACATCTCTGCTCTTATTATTAGTTTAGCCCACCCATAGATACCATACTTGAGATCCGGTAACCAATTCTGCGCTGCCCCCTCGGTACGGTACGGCGTGATTTTGCCACGAGAAGTCTTGCGTACTTTGGTTTGCTGCTTCTTGGGTTGAGGCGCAGAGCCTGGTTGTTGTTTGTCGCTCCTTTGCTCGAAGAACCGTCGGCTTGTCGTTTTTGGCTCGCTGCTGGTTGCCTGTGGAGTTTCTTTCGCTAACTTCGAACAAACTGCTGTGCCCACCTTTGCCCCTCATGCTGGTTGCGACCGACCCATCGAACAAGCCACGGCGGACTTGTGAAGAGCCATTGCACAACTTTTGAAATGTTTCTCAAACTAGCTGTCCGAGCGCTTGTACTACACACACATGCATGTCGATCACGATACAATACAATACAACAGTCAATCTTCTATATTTTACTTTTTGTATCGTTTTGTATCACTTCGCATTCGTCGTGTAGTTGGTACATCTACAAAAATCATTTGCATCGACAATACTTGTTTGCCGACCACAGGTTGTCCTCATGCATCAACACGTCAATTCGAGTGTGGCAACATTTTCAAATCCACACGATTGGACATCTCCCATCAACTTCCAGTCGGTATCGTCCAAGAACTGATCCATCTTGTTTGGATCCAATCCCCACACCCATGGTTCCGCCCCACCGGTGAATCCGTACTTGTGCATGGCCGGCACGACCCATCCCACTTCGACGGTTTGTCGACGTTCGTTCCATCCAAAAAAGTCAAACATGACGACACTTCCCTTACTGACACTGGCTTGGACTTGATCAAACAACAATCCTCGAATCTGTCCTTCTGTCAAGTACATGCTCAATCCTTCGACAATCACAATGGTGGGCAAACTGGGATCGTAACCGGGTTGTTCCTTGAGGACGGTGTCGAGCCGGATCTTGGTCAAATCGGCCATGACATGTTCCATATTGGACGGTTGACTGCCCAACAACAGAGGTTGTTGTTGCTGTTCATTGTCGTTTTTCTTGGCGTCGCAGTCTGTGCTGTTGTTGTTATTATTGTTATCCCACACACGCCGCTTGACGCGACTGGTAGCGGGATGATCGACTTCCCAAAAGTTGACACTACTGGAGTATTCGCGACACAATCGCAACGCCAGAGTATCGTAGCCGGCTGCCACAACAACGACTTGTTTGCGTTCGGCTGTTTCGTGTTGTTGCAAAAAATCGCGGACTTGACATTCAATAATGAGTTTGCGAAATCCAATGCCTTCAAAGAATCCGGGATACCAAATGGCCGCAATACATCGGGCCAACTTGGCCACGACGGGATTGCACAATACCCACGGACAGGTTCCAAAGGGGAGATTGGCAGCGACCAAGACGGCGACTTGGGCGGCGATAATGTTGGGAGGGATGCGGCTGCGACCATAGTCATCGCCGCCCAAAAGGAGGACGCAGTAGGCTACCATGACGGCAGTGATGGAAGGCATGTCATCTTTCATCTTTCTCTTTGTTTGCTAGTGTTGATGAAATTCGGTTGTTGGTTTGTGTGAGTTGGTTTTGTGTGATGGATGTTGCGCAGCGGTTGTTCTATTCGAGAAAAAGTGGCCAGTATTAGTAACGGAATCTCCAGGCAAATCCATTGCTGGCATTGTTCGCGAGGAATAGTGCCAAAAATAGCACGACTCGACACAATGACGATAAGTAGAGATCCGGTATGAAGTCATCAAACCTTGCTGACGTGAGCCAAGCGTGGCGTTTGGAAGCTTTTGGTTGGCTTGGCTTCTCATCATGCGATGCGAAGATGCGAAGATACGTCTTTTGAAGCTTTGGTTTATCCGGCAGCGAAGGTCAACATGGGCATGCAGCTGCTTGCCATCAAAACTACACGACTTAGCTTGAAGCTCATCTGTCTCTGTTGCCTGATGTACTTGTAACCAGTGAAGTACGTACCGTCGAGGGCATTGGCATTGGCTGGGCAATGCAAAAGGATTCCATTCGATTCTGATTCTGATCCGATCGGACAACCAGCACCAATGGATCGATCATGAAGAATCTGTCGACACCTTGGATTGCATTGAATGGCGAGCACCAAGCTAAAGGGCTCGCATAGCGATTGTGTTCTGAGATCGGAATGAGACCGTGGAGCTCTCTCGAAAATAATGTGTTGCCACTTGAGGGATTCGATTCTTCTTGCGACGACGGTTTCTTTCAATCTGAAACAGGAAAACCTTGCTCCAGATGAATTAATTCCTAAAATGAGTAGCCGTGTGTCCGATGGAAATGCCACCATGCACTGGAAGCACTGTCAAGGTTTGGGGTATCGAGGTGGTGGTGGAACCAAGCATCTGGGCAACTACTGTACACAGCTGCATCTCCCATGACAACATTTATTGCTGGGTCAGGAATGCATGAATCTATCTATCTATCACTGCTTCACTGAAGAGACAAATCCCAACAATCTGCGTCCCTTCCAACATACCGTACGGTACAGGCAAAATCCTCCCAATGCTACGGTACCGTACTAGTATGCGCTATCTCACAACAACAGCATGCTGGCCATAAATCAAAGCAATTATGTATGATCAATCAGAAGAACACGTTTCTTGGAGATCCGCTGAGTTTTGTCTTGGCTTCAGCCAAACGATGCTACTATCATAGCTTGGTTGCTCTCAGTTTGCATTTTTATTTATTCCCCATTGGCCCATTGGATAAAAACTCAGCAACCATTCATTCAAGAAAACAGGAACAAGCGGTGCCTGATTTATGTTTCCAGAGGCATTCAACCACCACCACCAACTGGATGAGGAGTGACACAAAAAAAGGTCTCCTGCTTATGCTCTGCTGCTATCAGCCACATACATACATGTTGGATGTAACGTCAAACTTTGCCCGTCATGGTCGATACCTGTGTGAGCATAAAGGATATCGGACCGATGGTGGTCTCCACACCACATTTTGTGGAAAACTAGCAATTTTCTCGTAGGCTCGTGCTGGAAGTCATCGCCTGGTGTCCTGGCATCTCTCATGCTGGTAACGATACAGACCGTTGCATCTCATCATCATCGCTAAGCTCTGGAAACTGTGTTTTTAGTTGCCCTTGAGATAAAAATTTCTTAAAAGATCACTACGAAGAAGGCTCATGGGGCTCGAACAAATCCACGCTTGAGCACAGGAAGGCAGTGTAGATTTTGACTTTCCCTCACGGCAGTTGTCGAATCTGAGGGAGCAAATAAATAGTCCCACAACTTTTGTTCGTTTTCAAGTGGGAGAAAATTGCTTGTCAAGGTGCTGCATCAGAGGAGCCGTTGTCTATCTTGCTCTGGATTAATGAAAACCATTTGGCATGTGGATGATAGTAAAAATCTGTTTAATGCTTTGTTTTCTGGCTACAAGCATGGAGTAGCGTTCGATGGCAGCGAAGGATCATGACAAAATCCCATCTATAGCCACGAGCAGGGTATGTTGTGCTATCTATACTGTTTAAAATGAATTACAGAAAGGGAGGCTCTTCTCTTGAATTTGTTCCAAAGTATCTGGCAGCTTCTGCTACGGACTTGATCACTATGACAGCCTGACAGCCTGTGTCCTGCCTTCCCATTCAGTTCCAGCTACCCTAACCACACTTTGGCGGCCAACGAGCTCGGAAGCACGCTATGGAGGCATCCAACCACTTGCTGCTAGCCTAGAAAGCTAAGCTAGCTCTAAGCGTTATCAGGCTTGGGAACTGGCTTGGGCATTTCTGCATCACAGCGGTGAATGGCGCGACCCACCCTACGAGGGTATCGAAGCCAGGGATACAAGCACCTGTTGATGCCATCCGCGCCGTCAATGCAAGCCTCACACGGTTGGATCAGGACCCAAATGATCGCGCAGATGATTGCCAAAGGCCATGCTACAATGAGCAGCAGCAAGAACCAACAGAGGGCGTAACAGTACCCTCCGGCAGAGACTTCGTTCCCTCCAGCTGCTTGACCTCGTTTTCTCCCTTGGCTCGAGCTTCGCCTCTGCTGTTCTTCATCATCGCTGTCGTAGTCGTTGTCTGAGGCCATCTTGATCCTTTCTGAGTTGACAGTTTAGTTGTCTTGTGTGTCTATTAGGTAGCAAGGTACTACAGAAAAATGAAGGAGTGCCGTGGTTTGGTCTTGTTGGCGCCAAGCGATCTTGTTTCAAGCGGAAGATGTGGAGGGAGGGTTGCCGCTGTCAACACTTCGGGTGACCTTGTTATGACCAACAGCCAACATGTGTAAGCAGGCTGATGGCTTATTACTTACTTCAAGACAAAAGCCACAGCTAGCTAGACGCAGACTTGCCTGTCCAAGAAGGAACACAACGGCGGACCCGTCGATCGAAACGGCTATCTCCGTGGTTGGCGATTCCAACTAGCTACTAGGTCTAAGCATAATAATAATATGCATACATACCATGCGCAGCCGTACCGGTATCGGTACAGCAGAAGCCAATTTTGTGGTCGGCGACAACTTCGTAGTTGGCGACATACAACCCCCAGTCACCACATAGCGCTATGATACAACATGTTGAGATGGATGCCTGCCAACTGCCCAGCCAACTAGCGAGTAGCCAGCCAACTTTGTGGTTGGCAACAACCGTCCACATACGGTATGGAACGAAATAGCCAGCTAAAATGAGACTCGCAGCGTTTCGGAGAAACCAAAACAGAAAGGATGTTACCAAGATGAGTTTGATCCGAAGATTTTTACTGGTAGTCCTTCCACAAGTGTTGGCACCCTTTGTCATGACGGTGCATCTTTTGGATGTTTGGCGGGCGCAGGCTCGCCTGTTGACTTCAGGCGATCAATATCAGCTCAATGCCGATGCCACTGCCACTATGATGAGTCAAAGTACTTCACCAGTCCACCTTTTACCCACAGAATCAACACAAGATGATGATCCGAATCACGCCATAATCCCCCCGTTGGATCCTGGTTTTCCCTTGGAACCAAATCCCCGTCCTCCCTTTGAGTCGATCGTCCAGGGTTGGAACATTACAGGGGATTCCTCGTGGCTGTTGAATGTGGCCATTATTGGGTTTCCGAAGACGGGCACTTCCACGTTGATGAAGTATCTGCACAAGAGTCCCCAAGTGCATGTCTTTGATAAAGAACGCTGTGAAATGGGATACAATCAACATGCACGTCTCATGGAGAGTTTGTACAAGGATATTCCTCCGGGTCCTACACTACGAGGAATCAAGTGTCCTCGAAATTTGGAATCCCACGTGGCACTCCAGAATTATCAAACCTTTTTTCCAAAGACAGACTTTTTGGTAGGACTACGACATCCTGTGCTCTGGTTTGAATCCTTTTACAACTTTAGAGTCCACAATTATGCCCCGATGATGCCAGCACAATACCACACAGGATTATGTACAAGGGGACATCATGGAGTGTGTACCTTTCGAGGAAACTTTCATTTGTTCCTCGCCAATCTGGGAAAAACCAATATTACATCCAATCCAGCAGAACGAGCACTGATTCCACGCCAATATCAAAGCCGGATTCAACCCATTCCCTTGCAAGGACGAATCTTTTTGTGGGATGTTTCACAACTCCAAACCGATCCAGAATTGCTGCAAAACAACAACAACCATTCATCCTTATCATTACAACAACACAGCAATCTCCAATTCCGACAGGACTTGCAACAATTTCTTCGATTGGACCATCCACTTCCCGAAATGATCAAAATCAAACCGGGAATTCATCATCCCAACAATCACACCGCCAAACAAGTGGCGGCAAAAAAAATTGATATTTGCCAACCACAATATCAATCTCTTCGCGATATACTCATGACACAGGGCAAGCTGGCAGCCACATGGATTCGAGAGTACTTTTTGGAGGCACCGGGAGTGTATGTGTCGCAAAAGGAGTACTTCTCTCAAGTCATTCTGAAACAATGGGAACAAGATCCTTGTGAATTCCGACATGTGGATACACAACCCACTGCAACTTGACCAGTGGCCACAGGTGGTCTCCAGTACCAGACTGGCTGGCTAGCTAGAGTACTAATACGGGTACGATAGCCTTATCTAATCCGTACCGATAGTAACTTATTGCCCTCAACTACCAGCTAGCAAGCTGAGGGCCTTTGAACTTTATTGCCCTCAACTACCCTAGCAAGCTGAGGGCCTTTTGAAGTTTATCTTGTGTGTGTGTGTGTGTGTGTGTGTGTGTGTGTGTGTGTGTCGCGTACATATGGTGCGGTTTCCCTTGCAAGGTTAAGGCTACCAGGTACACCGCGTACATATGGTGCGATTTCCCTTGCAAGTTAAGGCTACCAGGTACCGTGCTCTTCCAAAACCCTTCCTTGCTTCCTTGGCCTTTAGAAAAATGCAAGTTGAGGGCACTAGCCTCCGGCTGACTGTCCTCTTGTGTGTGTAGGTGTGTGTACGTTGAGTGCTGTGTGTGTGTGTGTTGTGTGTGTGTGTTGTCGCGTACATATGGTGCGGTTTCCCTTCCAAGGTTAAGGCTAGCTACGTACATATGGTGCTGTTTCCCTTGCATACATATGGTGCTGTTTCCCTTGCAAGGTTAAGGCTACCGGTAGGGGGCAAACCAGAACCAGAACCCTTCCGTTCCTTGGCTTTTAGAAAAATGCAAGTTGAGGGCACTAGCCTCCGGCTGGCTGTCCTCTTGCTTTGTACCGGTACTAGTACCTGTACGTGCAGTGTCCAGTGCCCGTACCGGTACCAACTGTACAGTGAGTATGGTAGCACACTTTTCCCGAAGCGCCTCAAGGAAAACACAAGCTCGTCGCGACCCAAGCACCAGCAGCTACTTAAAACAAGAGGCCTCCGGTGGCGCCAACCACGGAAATAGAAATAGGAAGTGAAGTAAAGTAGCGTATAGTGAAGAAGAGAAGCTAATGACTAATGTTGAATATTGGTTAAGTCAGAATACTAAAAGGGGATATTCTGAACACAGGCGAGAAGACATTTATCAACGGGGAAAGTGGTTTGCCAGGAAAAGGACGAGGAGAGGCAAGCGAGCCACTGGTGAAGCCGCGAAGTAGGAAATAGGGACACAAGGGCAAAGGGGAGTCAGAAGTCAACACCGCGAAACCCGGCATAGTCACCTCCTTGCTCCTCCTGCGCGTTGAAAGTTGGAGCCTCACCGTCAGTGTTGTTGGGGGGGTTATTGTATGGTGCAAAGTGGGCTTGAACTTCAGGGATAAGACCTTGGGCGTAGTAAAAGGGGAGGACAAGAGGAGCACGTAGAACATCTCCAATCGAAGTAAACTGAGGATAGGAGTCAACAATGACATCCATGGTGTCGCGAATAGTAAGCCAGTGGGACAATGGCTGAGCAGCAGTCTCATCATGGGGGGTGAGATCAGCTCTGAAGTGTCCGCGCTCGGCATAGCGAAAGAGACGCTGGGTATTAGGGTGATTCCAGAAACGAACCAAGGAGTCGACCCAAGCACGCCTGTTTTGAGGCGTGTTGGCGTTGGCTTGACCGGTGCTGTCGAGAATGAAAAGCAAGCATGTCGTTCGGCGACCATAGCCATTGCGAGACATCACCTCCAAGTGCTCATGAGGCTCCTGGGGATCACGCAAGTGCAAGATGTGATCCACATGAAGGACACGCTTAGCAAAGCCGAGGTTCTCGCGGAGATAATTCAAAACAGGATAGACGTAGGCACCAGAGTCTCCCTTCATAATCTTGCAGATCATATCGTTACTGCGGGTTTTGGAACAGATGAACTGGACCCCACGCGCATAGCCGGCAGTGAACGTACCCGCGCGGGGTGGGCTTCCAATATCAGGTTTGCCTTTCTGCAACAGAAACTGCGGAATAGCAGCATTTGCAGGATGAACAGGAGCAGGAATCGGTCCCGCAACAGCCGCAGATGGACCTTGCCCAACTGGTGCAGCAACTGCAGCAATGCCGCCACGAAGAGAAGCAGCTGCAGGGATATTTGCAGGACCGGTGGGGAAAGTAGGGCGGGACGCTCCAGTAGCATTGGCAACAGAAGCAGGAAGCACAGAAGAAGCCTTGGACCCTTTTTTACGAGAAGAAGTCGGCTGAGTCTGAATGGACGAATCCGACTTGCTGTGGTGCTGCTTAGTGCGCTTGTTGCTGGGCGCAGACTGGTCTTTGTTTTGGTCTGGTAAAAAAGGGAAACAGGCAAGAGAAATAGAAGAAGGAATAAGAGACAAAAAGATGCATAGTGGAAAACATGTATGAATCTAATAGAAGTTGACATGGTAATGCAAGGATCCTTTGTTATGGATTTCAACAGCAGCAAGGAATGGAAGCACTGTACCTGAATTAGTGGAAGCTGAGTTGGAAGAAGCATCATCAATGCTGGACAAGGTCTGTTCATCAGAATGATTAGAATCGGTCTTGGATTGGCCGGAACGATTGGCGTTAGACGAAGAACGGGGCTTGTGGGTTATGCCCGAACGCTTGCTGGTCTTGCGAGAAGATCTTTTCTGTTTTTTCTTCTTCTTGTTTCTTTTGCTGCGTTTTTTGTTAGGAGGAGTGTCGGTGCTAGAGCTGGAGGAAGAGTCGCTTGCAGAAGAAGAGAACAAGGCTGGTTTAGGCTTGCGGTCTTTGACATTCGCATCGGCAACAGAAGAGACGGGTGGGGCCGGAGGAGGCTTCTTAGCAGCACCAAAAGGAAGAGAAGGTTTAGCAGCCGAGATTTTTAGTTCCAAAGTATCTTTGCGGTACTGAGAGCGACAAGTCCTGGAGGGACGAGTATCAACGATGGCAGGAACAGTGGCTTCAGCAAGATTGGTGTTTGTAGCAGCAACAGGAGTCTTGTTAGTTTTGGCTTCGTTGAGCTGCTTGTCGGAAGTTTCTGTATCGGAAGAAGGGTTAGCAACTTGCTTGGGAGGCGGATTGGTAACAGGATTGTCTTCGTCATTAGGAGCAGAAGCCATGGTGGAAGGCAATGATGTTGAAGGACTAGAAAGAGTCGAGAAGGAAGAACTTGGTTAGTTTGTTGTGATAGGCAGAAAATGTAAATTGTGAGACAGAAGGAAAAGTGGGAGAATTTTTTAGGGTATGGAATTTATCTATGAAAGCAACTGAATACCAGGTTGAGGCACGGGAGAGTATTTGTTTTGGATCATCGAGGCACGAGTTGATGCTATAACTGGACACTTTGAAGATGGCTATGACACTGTTGAAGAATCGAAGACTAAGGCTGTAGATCACTGGTTGGTTACTGTATATAAATTGGTTGGTTGGAAGAGAAATGGCTATTGAATCTCTGCTGTAGATGGAAAGAAGAGAAGTAGATTTGGATCCTCGATGAAGAAGATTTTGTTGTGGCCATTGAGGGAATGGAAGAAGTAGCCTTAACCCTATTGTGGAAAGTGTGAAGAATGAGGGACTTGACTCTGGACCCCCGAGGCACAAGGTGTCATTGGAACTGAAGATTCCAATGACACTGTGGAAGAGGAGATGATGAAGACTGTAGATTCATAGATAATGCAGATCTTGATTTGGAGATGACTGGTTGGACTGGTAGTGTTACAGGGCAAAGGAAAGAAGTGACCGAAAGTGTAGGAGTGGTGTGTGTTGAAGAATTGAGGGACCGGTAGCCTGCTCTCTGTACATTCATGAAACAGCAATTGAAAGGGGGATTGAGGTGGCATGAAAGTAGATTGAAAGTTGATTGTGGACTGTGCATGGTGGTGAAGTAGTCTTTGAAATGATCACTGGAGAAAGGGTAAAGAGATCCCGAGCCATGACACTGTAGCAAACTGGCAATGGAATAGAATTGTTGGTTGAGCATGCTGTGATGTCTTGACCACCGGTGTTGAAGCAGTCTTTTGGAAAGACTTCTTGGGCAATGGTAAAGGAGGTGAAGAGGATCCTGGAAACTGTACTAGGGAGACCAAAGAATGTTGGAGTAGATAGGCCTTTTGATGTCTCGAGCAAGGGTCATTGTAGTAACCGGCAATGGAATACTAGAACTGTCGAGCATGCATTGACAGTGATATCTTGATGACTGGTGGTGTTGATACTTCATGGGCAATGGTAAAAGAAATGAAGAGGACCCTGGAAACAGCCACTAACATTGTAGTAAATTGGCTTTTTGATGTCCTGAGCATTGCTGACCGGTGGTGCTGAGACTTCTTGGGCAAGGGTAAAGGAGTTGAAAAGGACCCTGGAAACTGTACCAGGGAGACCAAAGAATGTTGGTGTAGATTGGCTTTATGATGTCCCGAGCCACCAACATTGTAGTAAATTGGTTTTTTGATGTCCCGAGCAATGACACTGTAGTGAACTGGCAATGAAATAGAACAAGTTTTGGCTGGGAATGCTGTGATGTCTTGACCGCTGGTGTTGAAGCAGTCTTTGGAAAGACTTCTTGGGCAATGGTAAAGGAGGTGAAGAGAATTCTGGAAACTGTAGGGAGACCAAAGAATGTTGGTGTAGATTGTTGGCTTTTGATGTCTCGACCAATGGATCCTTGATACTGTAGGTAAGCAGTGCTGTAGTAGCTGTTGAAAAATGAACCTCCGACTGATGGAGGTGAAGCTGTGAGTGGAGGTACATGAATAGGGGCGCAGTCGATCTCATTTCCCGAGAGCAAGAAGCCATGAACATTCCAGTCAATGGGGTAGACGGAGGCAGACCCAGCAATAGAGAGCTGTTGGTAGAAAAGTTGAGAATCAGGAGGCTGATGTTGGATTGTGTTAAGAGGATCCAGTTGGAGAGGGAATATGTTGTAGCCGCAGGAGCAGCGCCTTTGAGTTGGTACTTGATCGACCAAAGAGAAGCAGAGGGACAGAGGCTTGCGGAGATGCCTGATCCAGGGCTGTGGAACAAAGTGAATATATTTGTGTGTCGCACACCGGGACGAACAGTTAACTCATTCGGTCAATTCATTGGAGATTTTATTGGAAAGGCAATCAGTCGTGGCTATTTTATCGAAGAGTTGAAGCATGTGCATCAGCGAAAACAGTATCGTATGGGTAATGATGAACAGACAGTGAAGACACAGATGAAAATCTATGGGTTGCACTCACCATTGGAATTCATCCAGTGTCCAGGAGGAATGTACATTGATGATGTGCTGGCCACCTTTGAGTTGGACGTGAGTAGAGTGATGTATGAGTTTTACTCGGACACTTTGTCGACATTGTACGATGATGCCATAGAAAGCAGCATTACAACACTTCATCCGTCAATCTGGACAACTGCAAGAAAGGATGTGGTGAGCAATTCAGAGAAGAGGAAACTTTTGTCGGCTTTGAGGAGGATGAGCAAATACGAGTCATTTGGATTTTATGTCCATAATGCCGCAATTGCCCGTGAAGTTATCCAGCAGTGTTTCGACAGAGCCAACAGGGTGGAGGAAGAGGGAGTTGGAGTTCTTACCATACCTGAAGTATCTGAAGATGAAGACATGTAAGGCTGAAATGTTGAGGTGGAATAGAGTAATCTTTGGATCGGAGATTGCAAAGACTTGGAGGATTGAAGAAACAAAATGTATGAGAGTAGTAGTATGAAATAATAAGAAGTCGAATAAGAAGTAGAACTTACCGAACGTGGCAGCGTGATTGCTTTGAAGGGGTTTGGTCAGGGATGCTGGGGACTTGGACGTGACTGAGTGACAGATTGAATCGGAGCTCACTACAACCAGGAGGGCGGTGTGGAACTGATGGAGAATGATGAAGAGCTACTGGATGAATCACTAGTGAGATCATACACAACCAGTAAGATGCGCAGCGGTGGCAAGAAACACTAAGCGGTTAGATCCAGTGACATGACATGCACCCAGTAAAGAGCGAGATGGTTGATGGTCGGGAGGCCTTTTTGAAACGGTTTGCTTACCTGGTAAGGACAGCACAGTTGGAGTTGAAAGTTGATAGCAGGGACTTTTTATTGTGCTTTGCTTGTTGTAGCAGTCCTGACACCATAAAATACTTGCAGCGGCGAAGTCCGTAACTTGTTTATAGTAGGAAGGAGAACAGCATTGAAGGAACTTGTGTACAGATTGTTGAATTGACTTCATCTGGGATTAGCATGGTGAGAACAAAAGTAACCATTAGTGTGGAAGATAGAAAGAAGCGGAGAAATGAAAGACGAAGGGAAGCACGCCGAAAATGGAAGGAAGCACGCAAAAATTGGGAGGAAGCACGGCAAAATTGGATGGAAGCTGAACCCACAAAGCACAAAGATGTTGTGGAAGAGAGTATAGAACATAGGAAGAATCGGAGAAATGAACAACGGAGGGAGGCATACCGAAGATGGAAGGAAGCCGACCCGACCAATCACCAAGAGGTTCTGGAAAAGAGAAGAATTGAAAGGAAAGAAGAGGCCCAAGAAATCGCAGCCAGCCTTCTGCACCACATGTATTGCAGCAACTTCAATTTGACACCGGAGGAACTGAAGAGTGCTCTTCATGACTTTTCTTCTGAAGCGGAACCAAATAAGGGACAAGGTTTTCTGAAGAAAGAAGATCGAGAAGCCCAATATTTCATGGACAGACTGCAGAACCCAATGAAGGCTGTTCTGATGTTCTACCTGAACTCAGGATATTTTCGATTTGAGCAGTACAGAGACTACACTCAGGCAGATGATGGATCACCAATTGATCTCGATGTAGTATCAGGGGACATACAGGCAGAAAGACAGTCAATGGAAGAACTGGACAACATGGTGGAGTCCTTCTTCAAATGTCACTCATATACACATTTCGCAGTGGCTGCATGCGGTTCATGTGGGGTGAAGAAAATAGAGGAGCCAACAGCAGAAGATACTGGAGTGGGAGAATTCGTGGTCTGTAACTTGGACCTTCCTGAAATGTCAATTCTCCAGTATAGTACAGAAGAGAAACAAAAGTTGCAGAAGCAGATGGCAGATCCGAAAAGCCGTGTCACTGTGCCAGTGAACGAAAGGTGGGATGTGGAGACTTTGGAGGTTTGGAAAACTCGATCGTTTTATGAAGAGACGAGGCCGGATGGGAATGTTGTATTTTGGCATCTTCACGGGGAGCTTGTGAGGGATCTTGGAACTGGAAAGAAAAGCACAAAGCTATGTCCTCGATGTTGGAAGGCAATCAAAAGTGGGAAAACCCCGCGATTGTCTATTGCGGCAGGAATTGACTTTGGGCTCTCGAGTCGCCTGAACCTTGAAGCCCCTAACTTGCATGAGCAGCTCATCCTTGCAAGAACAAGGTTGTTTTTTGCAATGGTGAAAGTATCGTCGAATATGTACGGACAAGTGAATGCCAATACAGCTCTGAAGCGTCGATGCCATGCTGTACTGTTTCCACACGACGCCCCAGACGGAGCGGCCTACATGTTTGAGTCGAAGTTGTTCGAAACTGGCGGAATGCTGAACAAGGCAGAACTGCACAAGTTGCTGCATATGTATATGGTAGATCCGAATGGGCGGCCAGATTCAATTGCAAGAGAAGTGTATGAAACAGTGAATTTGTTAGCACGTCCATATGTCATTGCACAGTGGCTCATTGTATTGAAGTATACTCACTGCCAGTACAGTGACCTTGACGTGTCTTCACTGCAAGACACGGTTGATGCAGTAATTTTGGAGTTGAATGAGGGAATAATGAAGGGTGCGGTTCCAATTGTTGGAGGGCAGGCTGTAGCCCATGAACAGAATCTGGGATCCGATGTAGCACAGTGCACCACACAAGAGGTGTTTGATGCAGGAGAATCATCGAAACGGGAACAGAATGGAACAGAGGCGGCAACAGTCCGTGGTCGCTCGAATGACATTCAATTTTCTTTTGTAGCCAGAGACCCCGTATCATTCTTCGCACAAGATAGAGATGACATCCGACTGAAGCCTTTGGAGAGGCTCCTGAATCTGGGGAATTGTCCCAAAAATACAGACCCCAGAGGAGGTACAGCAGAAGAGGAAGGAGCAGTTGATGATGGACTGAGTTTTCATGGGGAAGACGTCGATGAATATCTGCTGCGCTTTCCTCCAGCAATGGAAAACACAACCCGCCGGTCAGATGACATCTTGTCAGACTTTGCCACAGATGATGTTGGAATTAGCACAAGCTTTCCACATATTTTCATGCTAGGAGTAGCGTACAAAAAAGCTCCAGGGCGACTGTCTCATGATGAAAGGAACCATTTGCTGAATCAGTTTCACAATATGCCCAGCAGAGACAGGAGGCTGCAAGGATATCTGTTCGATTTAATGATGAAAAGCAAAGTTTTCGATGGAGTAAAAGGACATGTCAACAATAGCAGACGTGCAATTGACACTGTACGGAAACTGCTTCATGACAAGAAAGACAGAAGCGACTTGAAATCAGCAATCCAATTTCCTTATACGAAGAGGGCGAAAGAGATTCTGAATAAGTACTTACCCCATTTCAAGTTTGCCAGCAAAAATATTTCGTACGGTGCCTTGGAAGGTTCGGGGCTGAAGTTGAGAATGGTCGGTTGCAGCAACAGATACATTGCCCCAACCTGTTTTCTGACACTGAGTCCAGAGTGCCTTGGAAACCCAAGAGCAATCAGATTGGCGTATGGAATGAGAAACAATTATGAATTCCCGGCGCAGTTTGAGAGTGGATGCAAGTTTGGAAGGAATGGGGAAGAGTTTCTGAACTCTTTCTTGGAAGATTCCAGCATTCTTTCTGAAGGCACAATCACTTTACCTCGTGCTGTACGAAGCGAGCTTGCGACGGAGAATCCAGTAGCTTCGGTTCAAGAGCATAGAGCCCTGCTGTATCACATTTTGAATATATTGTTGAAGCTGCCAATTGAGCATGAAGGGTATTATGGCTCCATGGAAGGCTTATCTAAGAGAAGAACGCGGTACTATAAGCAGCGCAAAGGTATCTTTGGGTACTCCTTGGGGGCTTGTGGGGTAACAGAAGCCCATCAAAAGGGCACTCTGCACTGGCACATAACACTGTTTGCTGGTCTGTCTCCATATGTGCTGCAAAGATTTGCACATATGCAGAAGATTTGTGATGAAATCAGCGTGGCACTGGATGATATGTACCAATCACATCTCCCTGCTCGGATACACATTGGAGGGATAACTCAAAGAGTCCTGTCAAGGAAGGGTGCAACAGGCGAATGGAATATTCCTGATAAGGTGATTCAATCGTTGAAGGGGAAGGAAGTCATTGCTGCAAGGAAGCATCCAGTAGACTCATTGAAGCAACCATTCTACGGATGCATTGAAGGGGGGAACTTCACAGAAAGCTTCAGTGGCGAGGTGGATGGGAAAAGTATGACTTCATTATCGGAGCCCACAGGTGTTTGGTCATCTGCAGGGTCAACAATGAGTAGCTTGAAAGATTGCAAGACAAAACCTGAGGCCAGAGTCGGAGTAGTGTTACAGGCACACATGCCACATGCTGACGGGTTGAATGCATTGAATGTGAATGAACAGAAATTCATGGGTGCTGTCCGTGATAACAAAAGTGGATTTGCAGAAGAAGCAGAATCTCACTTGATATCATTAAATGCCGTGAAGAAGAGTGAAACTGATTCTCAAGCAATGCAGCAGCAGTTCCATTCACACCAGAAGACATGCCGGAGCGGTACAATGGGGAAAACTGGTTGTCGATTGTGTATGCCAGTGGCAAATGCAGAGTCAACCCTGCCTGTGAAGCTTGTACCAATGAAGGAAGGAGCTAGTGTTGAGAAAATAAACAATGCAGCAACAGAGGAAGCAAATGAGAACAAGACGTTACAAAAAGGAAGATCAAATGAACCCATGAGATGTTGGGAGGCGGTCTTACCTGACGACGTTTTCGGGGATGAAGGAACGCCTCGTCATCACTTGAAAGACCTTCTGTCCAACAAGCTTGATGACCATGTAATTGTTTGGGAAACAAGGAGACCAGTGTTGTCATCTCACCATTTTGAAATCAACCCGAATAGCACAGAAAATCCAAGGGGGCATATAGTGGCTGCATTCCGCTGTGTTCTGGGAGATGTTGAAAGTTTTGGAGGCCCGGCAGAAGACTTCTGGCAGTGGATGGAAAATGAAGCAAAGCTCGACCAGCTGATGGATCTGTATCTTCAAGTCCAGAAAGATTTGCCAGCTGCAAATGGATTTGTGGCATCCTTTAGTCCAATTCTCTCACTGTGCACAGGATCCCATAACAATGCCTCTCTTTTGGGTAGCTTGGGGCAGGCACACAGTGCAATGTTTTACCTGATTCCATACCAAGGCAAGACAAAATTTACTTTGATGCAATCGCTTGTACTGCTTGACAAAGCTCTCGATCACATTACCACGCCAGGAAAAGAGAGTATTGCACCAGATTCAGGGACACAGGCGCGGACAGCAAAACACCTTCTGACGCGGGTTTTAAATCGGATTCATTTGCACCAAGAGTTGTCGGAGTATCAAATTGCCGCGGCATTACTGGATCTTCCAAGCATGATAATGACAGATACTTTTGCCTTCGGGAGTCCCAATTCTCTCTCCGCTTTGCGGACGCACATGCAGCTGGATCAGAATGAACAGAATCGTTTTGATGCGCTCTGCGATATGATTGCCGCCGAGAACATGATGAAGAACTCCCACAATAAGCAACATGGAGCACGTGCTGGTTGTGGTAATAAAAAAGTGAAGGAAGTGCAACAGGAGGGCAGTGATGATTCGGTAGCGACAGAAGACAACAGTGGCACATGTGGTATGGTGAAGGATCCATATGACCCGGATGATGTAGTCTCATCAATGGGCTATATTCAACGGATAAAGTTGAAGGAAGGGGACTTGAGGACGTTAGATCCGGAATACATTGAATTCATGCCTGCCTCAGCTTTGTACTTGTATAGGGGTGAAGAATTGGCAGAACTCAATTATTATGAGTATCTTGCTTGTGTTCAGTTTTGGAACAAGAAGCCTCGAAATGACCCCTCGGCAAGAACTTTCAAACAGCAGCAGCAGTTCGCAATGGACCCTAATTTCGTGGCGTCACCAGTGAGCTATCATGTGCTGCGATTGAAGCAATGTGTGCCACTTCTTACAAGCACGGCACCACCTCATCCTGGTAATGCACCACCAGACTATGGTGAATCTGAAGGGACACCTGCAGACATTCTCTGGGAATCGAAGGCAAATGTATATGCCAAGTATTTTCTCTCTCTGTTTAGACCAGAGAGAATGCAGGACAGTCACTTGGGATACACTTGGAAAGATCTGAAGGAATACATCACCTCACTTCAAGAAGACAGTTCAATCATTAGTAAGTTCAGGCTGATGTCAATGGACAATCAAATGAAAAGAATGCGAACCAAAACCATTGTCAAGAAAATGACATCCCAATATCGTAGCCGTGCAAGAGACTTGTGGCCGCCAGAAGAAGAAACGGCTGGTTGGGGAAGCAGGCAATCTCTTGAGTCAAAGTTTGTGCACACAGATATTGAACCTTGTGACGGCTTTGAGTTGCTGTCCGCAAAAACCAACACTGGCATGCGGCACCAGTTAAACCATGATGCCCTTCAAACGCGCCATTGCATGGAGTATTTTGGAGGTGGTGCCGCAATGAAGACGAATCGAACATCTGGAAATCACAGAACGATACTATCAAAGTGGCATGAGGACGAGCTGGGCCTTGTATATAGCAATATGATCGAGTGGACAGACGGGACTTACCTGGAAGCAAGAAGGAAGAGATCTTTGATAGGAGAGTCAGATGCTGTTGTGAATGCACCAAATAAGAGACAAAGGCAGGAATGTATCAAGACCATTCGGAAAAGGGTCGCACCAATTGCAGCAGGAAAACCATCTGAGCAGGAGATTCTTTACGATTGCTTTTCCAAATCGCTCTTGGGCAAATCAAAACCAGGCGAGGCATTTCCACAGCTTGTGTTGATCCATGGAGCACCCGGTACTGGAAAGTCTCACCTTCGAAATGCGCTCTTGGATGCATCAGAAGCGTGCGATCGATATAACGACAAGACTGCCTTCAATTCCATCAATGCGGTTGATATGGGTGGGACGACCACATGTGCCGATACGGGATTCAATCCCCAGATTCATCTGAGAAAGGTAGGAACTTTCCCTGATGTGGTTTTGAATACAGCTAGGAGGAAACTGGGAGGAAGAGAAGCCAGCACAGCAATAGTGCACATTGAAGAAGTAGGCACACAGGCGCCAGCACACCTTGCGCGAAAAGATGCCCAATGTCAATTGTTGACAGGATGCAATAGATCTTTTGGTGGTCTCCACACATGCTTGTACGGGGATCTGAACCAACTCGGACCAGTAAAAGCCGGCCCAACTTTGACACAAGCAGTGATGGATGTCTATGCATGTGATGAAATCAAAAAAAGAGTTCCAAGACAAAAGAAAAGGAACCAGGAGAAAGCAACCATTATGCCAAGCGAAGATCCAGGTCAGAATCGATACAATCACAACCATCCATACAGCATTGGAACAAGACTGCTTACTCAAGCAAGACTTTTTGAACTCACAGAGCAAAAACGATCACTTGATCCTGATCACTCACGGCTTGTCAACAAAATGTACCGTGGACATTCCGTGACACAGACAGATATAAAGAACCATCTGAAGCTACTGACACCTGACCTGAAACATGATCCGGAATGGATGAGAGCTTCAATTCTAGTAACAACAAACCGGGAAAGGCACTCATTGAACCATGTGCGGGCGGAGCAATTTGCTGAAAGTACCAATGGTGTAGTCATAAGGTGGCTGAATGATTGGCACAACTGGGAACAGAAACCCCCTCCTGCGTTTCAGCATGAAGCCATGCAGGATCCATGTTTCTGGGAGTACTTTGTTGAAAATGCAGATGGTTTCTTGAATGAATCCATTCAGAGGGGCCTAATGCTTGTGAATGCACTCCCCATAAGGTATCACTCAATCAAATTCGATGCCGAGAATGAGACACTTCTGCGCCGTATGTTGGACCACAGTGAACCTGGAGAGGTCATCGATATGCCCGCCAGGCCGCTGTATATTATAGTGGAGGTATTTCCACCGGGCCAAACTCCGAAAGCTGTGTTGGATGGTTTGTACGCAATGTCCTTGCACAAACCGCGATGTTCAAGAACTAGAGGTAGAACAACAGCTGGAAAGCGAATTCTTCTACCAATATTCCGAACTGGCACACAGTTCGATTCATCTCCAACTATTATCAGGGGCGGGTCACTTTTCCAGCAGTCCAGGGCGACTTTCAAGAGATGGTTCCCACTGGAACTTGCATTTGCGATTACAGTGCACAAATCGCAAGGTCGAACTCTTCGGCGCATCATAATTGCCTTGTCCTACTGCAAGGCTGGGAATTGCAACTTCACATTTCAACAGTTGTTTGTAGCGCTCTCACGTGTATGGGATGGTGACCATATCAGATTGCTTCTGACAGGAGAGACAGAAGAAGCGAAGTGGGAGTCAATTCTGTATATTAACAGACTGAAACGAGATCCATCCATTGCATACTTCTTTGCAGGTTTTCGAGATATTGACCCTGAGGAGCCAAATAAAGGGTGGATAGATGATGTGTGGAGCAAAGAAAGAGCAAACAAAAGGTTTCTTCAGATGCTGAGTTCAGGGAATATTTAATGCGCTAGTAATTCAGGACAAACTTACTTTTTGTCGCCATGCCCCCAACAGGGTCCTATCTCTGATACGGGGGAGCCTTGTCTCACCCCAAGAAAGCCTTGATTCTGAAACTTGAGAGCCTGTCCCTCCTCGGTTGTGGGGAGACTGCCCTTGATGGAGCTACCTGGATTGATTCCCAACAAGCAATCGCAGTGCTTGGGGAGGACGCTTGAGGCTGCAGTGCCGAGCAACAGGGTCCCATCTCTGGTACAGATGTCGTGAGCCTGGTCCCTCTCTGGTTGCTGAGGAGACAGTTTTGTTGGAGCCACCTCCATCATTGACACTCCAGAAAGACCGACAGTGCCTGGGGCGGGAACCACAGTGCTTGGAGAGGACGTTTGAGCCTGTTGTGCACACCAACAGGGTCCTATCTCTGATACTGATGAGCCCGGTCCCTCACCGGTAGATGGGGAGACAGCCCTTCCTGGAGCCACCTCGACTGATAGTACTCCAGAAAGTCCCACAGTGCTTGGGTTGGATGTTTGAGCCAGCCTTCCCTTGCACCCAACAATGTTTTGGCTCTGAAACTTGGGAGCTTGATCCTTCCTGGTTACCGGGGAGACAGCCTTTGCTGGTTGAGCCAGCTCGACTGACACTTCTGTGATCTTGATTGACACTCCGCAAAGAACCACAATGCTTGGGGAGGATGCTTGAGCCTGTTGTGCATCCCAACAAGTCCTGACTCTGAAACTGCAGCGCCAATCCCTCCCCGGTTGCTGGGGATACTGCCCTTGATATTAGCTCTCCACAAGGAAGCACAGTGTTTGGAGAGGATGTGTGAGCCTGCACTCCAACAGGGCCCTGTTGGTCTGATACTGGGGAGACTGGTCCCTCCCCGGTTGCTCGGGAGACAGCAAGGAACCACAGTGCTTGAGGAGGAGCCTGGCCCTTCCCCGGTTGCTAGGGAGATGCCACCTCAATTAACACTTCAGAAGAAACCACAGTGCCAAGGGATGTGCCTGAGCCTGCAGTGTACCCCAACAGGGTCGTCCCTCTCCGGTTGACGAGGAGGCCAATCCATCCCCTGTTGGGTTGCAAAGGGGAGTCAGAAGTCAACACCGCGAAACCCGGCATAGCCACCTCCTTGCTCCTCCTGCGCGTTGAAAGTTGGAGCCTCACCATCAGTGTTGTTGGGGGGGTTATTGTATGCTGCAAAGTGGGCTTGAACTTCAGGGATAAGACCTTGGGCGTAGTAAAAGGGAGGACTAGAGCCACCTGCATTGACACTCAAACGTAGCCATAATGCTTGGGATTGACTTCCAATGATCATGCACCAACAAAAGCAATCGGATAAATCCATCCTGTTAGGGGTATAGTTTGCTTTCATCGCTCGAACATGGTGCAAAGTACAAAAGCGGTATGCACCGATAGCTAAGACCTTGGAAGGCATTCCTCTAGGATTCCCTAAAGTATTGAATGTCTTCCGCATCGGTCATTGTAGCCATACAGACACATACAACAATGAATTTTGCATCAAGAGAACGATTTCTCATTGGCCCAAGCCCTGAGGCAGGGCGGTTTGTTCCAGTCAGCTGGAGCCACCTCGATTGATAAAGATTTCCCCGGTTGGCTGCTAGGCCTGCTGTGCACCCCAACAGGGTCCTATCTCTGATACTGGGGAGCCTGGTCCCTCTCCCGATGCTGGGGAGACAGCCCTTTCTGAAGCCACCTCGACTGATAGTACTCCAGAAAGTACCACAGTTCTTGGGGGGGGGCAGCCCGCGATGGAATCACTTTGACTGACACTCCACAAAGAACCATGGTTGCACCCCAACATGGTCCTGGCTCTGGTGCTGGGGAGCCTGGTCCATCCCCGCTTCTTGGGGAGCCAGCCATTGCTGGGGAGACAGCCCTTACTGGAGTCACCTCGATTAACACTCCAGAGGGACCTTCTGTGCTTGAGCCACCTCGATTAACACTCCAGAGGGACCCTCGGTGCCTGGGGAAGAGCCTGGTCCGTCCACGGTTGCTGGGCAGACAGCCCTCAAAGGAGTCACCTGGATTGAAACCTTGCAAGGAACCACAGTGCTTGGGGAGGACACCTGGGCCAACTGTGCACCCCAACAGAGTCCTATCTCTGATACGGGGAAGCCTGGTCCCTCTCACGATGCCGGGGAGACGGCCCTTCCCAAAGCCACCTCGACTGATACCCCAAAAAGCCCCACAGTGTTTGGGGGGCCAACAAAGGCTTGGCTCTGAAACTCTGGAGCCCGATCCCTCCCCGATTGCTGGGGAGACAGCCTGCGATGGAGTCACTTCGATTGACACTCCACAAAGACCCACAGTTCTTGGGGCGGATGCTTGAGCTTGCCTTGCACCCCAACAAAGTCTTGGCTCAGGAAATTGGGAGCCTGATCCCTCCATGTTTGCTGGGGAGACAGCCCACGATGGAATCACTTTGATTGACACTCCACAAAGAACCATAGTGTTTGGGGAGGAGCCTGTGATGCACCCTAACATGGTCCTGGCTCTGGTGCAGGGGAGCCTGGTCCCTCCCAGCTTGTTGGGGAGAGGCTGTTGCTGGGGAGACAGCCCTTACTGGAGCCACCTCGATTAACACTCCAGAGGCACCCTCTGGGGAGGACACTTGAGCCTGCCGTACACCCAAACAAGGCCCAGGCTGTGCTGCCAAGGAGCCTGATCCTTCGCCGATTGCTGGGGAGACCGTGGAGGACTCCTGGGCCAGCTTTGCAACCCAACAAGGTAATGGCTGTGCTGCTAAGAAGCCTGATCCTGGGCCCTCCCCAATTGCTAGGGAGACTGCCATTGATAGAGCCACCGGGATTGACACTACCGCACAAGGAACCACAATGCTTGGGGATGACACCTGAGCCTGATGTGCACCCCAACAGGGGCCTATCTCTGATACTGGGTAGCCTGGTCTGGCTGCCCTTGATGCTGATCCCTCCATGTTTGTTGGAGAGACAGCCCGCGATGGAATCACTTCGATTGACACTTCACAAAGAACGACAGTGTTTGGGGAGAATGCCTGAGCCTGCAATGCACCCCAACATGATCCTAGCTCTGGTGCAGGGGAGCCTGGTCCCTCCCCGCTTGTGGGGAGACGGCTGTTGCTGGGGAGACAGCTGTTGCTGGAGCCAACTTGATTAACACTCCAGAGGGACCCTCTGTGCTTGGGGGGGATCCTGGTCCTTCCACGGTTGCTGGGCAGACAGCCCTCGATGGAGCCACCTGGATTGACATCTTGCAAGGAACCACAGTGCTTGGGGAGGACACCTGGGCCAGCTGTGCACCCTAACAGGGTTCTTTCTCTGATACGGGGGACGTCCTTGAGCCTTGAACCCCAACAAGGTCTTGCTTGTCCGTGCTGCTGGGGCTCCAGCCTGCATGATGGCCCCTGTTGCCATGAGACAGCTCTTGCTGTTCAAAGCTTGATTATCACACTAGCTTGGGCCAGACTGTTTCTGTTGCTGTTGCTGCTCTGTGTGCCGCTGTGCTTGTTTCCTTCGTTTCCGACTTTCATTCCGCTGTTTGCTAGTGCGTTTCTTTTTACTGTTGTTGCTAAGATAACTTGGTGGAGATGCTTCGAATTCTGTCATTATAGGTTGCTTCAATGACTTCAAATCCCCTTGGAAGAGCTTCTGTAACCTAACAAGCTTGCAATGATCATTGCTTCGACCAAATCCATGTCCTTTGAGAGCTGCACATCTTTTTCCAGATTTTGCTGATGAGAAGAGCTTCAGAACTCGTCCTTGCTTTACTTTGCGACAACGACTTGCAACAGAAGCAAAAGCTCGCTCCTTCTCCAGACCATGAAGTAATGAATACTGGTTGACATCATACAATGCATGATCAGCTGCCTCCTTAACAGATATATGTTGTTGCTGACAATTGTGTAACCAAGTAACAACTAAATTGTACCTGCAATTGAGGTACAATTCGTTGTTTGTCTGAAGAGGACCATAGTGGCTGTCTATTCCTAAGACTTTGGACAGTATCTTGGATGTTGAGCAGGGTGTGACACGCGGCATTTGAGCTATAGGTGCTTGGAAGTGGAAAAGGCTGTTTTTTTTGCCAACATCATCAGTGAGATGATAAGAAATTGCACCTGAAGATCTGAATTTGGTCGCCACCATGTTAGTTGTCCATGATATCTTCTTTCCAATGGTGAATTTAAAGCACTTGAAGTTCAGAATGGCCCTGGGCAGACCTCCATCGCGACCTGCAGAATCTTCAGAAGAAAAGTCAAAGAGCTGACGTGGCCTGCAGTTGTCGGTTTGACGCAGCATTCCAGGACACTTAAAAATGAAATACAGACAAGCGAAAATTCGAGCTTGTGTGCAGTTGCGAAAATAGCGTCCCTCAGTTCCTGGCCTCTGAACTTGTGTTGGCAGATACCCTGGAAGTGCAATGTGCTGCATTGACAAATTTGCAGATATTGCTGATGCTGTTGCACATTCATAAAGCATGAGCATTTCTGAAACTGGTCGTGATGGGTAGAGCTGAAATTGGGCATCCGGAAAAAGCACCTGCAACCCTTGCTGTGTGACAATTTTGATTCCAACCCTGTGGTAATGAACAGGGATGGTTGGGTTCAATGAATTGTTTGCAACACAGAATGTGGTAGCACTTTCACACTTCACCATCCACTGCGGATATTGGAGAATGTATTGCTCATAACAAAATCCAGTTCCTGTCCCATAAGCACGATTGGTTAGCCTCAATGCGGTTGTTGGGTCTAATAACACTGCAGCTACTAGTAATATCAAGGTTAATTTGT